TTGGATCCTGCAAGTTTATTCTGAGACACATATATTTGCCTTCATGCATGGGAAAATGACTGTTTGTTGAAATTGCCAATAAAGGAGAATATTTGTAGCTTAGGCTTGAAATTGGATGTCCCTGTGCTCTGTGAGCTTGGTTGCTTTCTCGTAGATGTATCATTATCCCAATTAATATAATCAGTGCTAGAGATGTTGTACTAGTGACATTATGTAGTTTGAGTAATGAAATGTCTACAAGAAAACAACCAAGCTTGGAGAGCACCTCGTTTGTTGAAATTCCTCTTCCTCAATGTTTTGTCAAAAAAAATTAAATATTAACAATCCATTGATGCAAATCACAAATAGAGTGCTTCTTTCTTCAATGTTGTTATTCCAAAAGCACAAATCTTGATGTCCAGATTCCAAATATTGTACTAGGAATATAACCAGGAAGCATAGGCATATCATGAATACACCCTATATGATTCAGAGTTATATAAATCATCTTCTTGGTATCAACTCCAAGTGTAGAAATAGGATAAGTTTAAATCATAATTTAAATTTCCACTTCTTGAGCTGGATCTCCAACAGAAGACTTAGTGGCTAAACAGGTAAGGTAGTCCTTGAGGATTAGCCAGTTAGGGCACCAGGTAACAAACAAGGAGAATTCTAGTCCAGTTTTAGGCATTAAAGTTGGTGGGGTCACTTTATAGGTGGTTGTTGTGGAATATAGGAGGAAGGAGTATTAGGTATGTTTCTTCTTAGTTATTTATAAAAATAATAAAGGTGGGATAAAAGAATGCTAAAAAAACCACCCAATGTTACTTATTGTGGTTGTTGATGATTCGGTCACTTGCAGCTCTTAATGATGACTTAATGAATATCATTTGCCGGGATTGTTTATCAATAGCTGCTTCTTTGTGTTATGTAATCTCATGGGTGTTGTCAGTGATAGTATACAGGTAATCCTCGACAATTGGGACTAGCATGCCTGAATGAATAAAAATGCATGTCTTCAAAGTAAGATGCTGGAGGAAATTATCAAGAATCCCTTCAGCCATAGCAAAAGAAAGAATTAAATACTAGATAAAACAAAATGAAACTTTCATTGGAAACATTAACCACAAAACTGAAGTTTAAACATTCTGAGTGCATAATGACTTATTGGAGTTTGCAAAACCAAAGGCTATTAAGCCAACAGAAGACAAAGTACCTATACAAGTAGTCCTGGACTTATGACCAGTCATTTAGCAACTGATCAGAGTAAAGCAATTCACTTAACAACTGCAATTGGAAGAGCTCTTCCAGTTGAGGTTGTTAAGTGAGTATGTAGGTTGTTAAATGGAGTGCCAGGGTGAAGGATGCTCTCCCTGCGCCACCATGCCCGTCCACTTAGCCATCCGTTTTTCTGTAATTGCAGGTGCAACCAGCTGATACGAGGTGTGGTCTTCCTACCAAGGTTTACCTTATGCCATCCTACAAGCAGCCCCCATTTGCTGTACTAAGCATATCCATATCTTTGTAACTCAATTTTTTAAACTGCAAGCAACTCACGTCTCCATATCTTTCTAACCATCAGAACAGTGATGATTGCTAGATTTCTAGCCCTAGAAAGGAGACAAAATCCCCTGGTACCCTGATGGAACAGACCTCAGATCCTGAAGGTTTGAGGTCTATTCCTGAAGGCCACCAAGGGATTTCTCCTTGCTGCATGAAGAGGAGGGGAAATCTCCTAGTGCACTGCAGGAACAGACCTCTAATTCCACATGCCCTCTCCTTACAACGCACTGGCTTCCCCACTGAATTTCTAGGGAAGCTGGCAGAGAAGATTGCAAAAAGTGATCACAGGATTTCAGGCCACTTGGCAACTGGTCATAAATGCAAGTCAGCTGCCAAGCACAGCAATGTTTGGGGGTTGGAGCAAACTTTTATGAAAACCAGAATTGCTTTACTTGGAAGAGTTGCTAAATGACTGGTCATAAGTCCAGGATTAGCTGTATAGCTATTTTGTCTTTTGTTGACTTGATTAATTGCCTTCAATTAATTGCTCAATTAATTGTTAAACATCAGAGACTTTTCCAACAATTATTATGCACCCAGACATTTTAACTTTAACTTCATGCTTAATGCTTCCAATCAAAATTTCACTTAGTTTCATCCATTACTTATTTCTTCTGTTATAGCTGAAGGGATTCTTGACAATTTCTTTCAGCATCTTAATTCAAAAACATGCATTTTTAATTTTTCAGGCATGCTAATGGTCCAGCTGTCATATATTAGTCCTGGGAAAACCAGTCTTGGTAATACTTCTGTTGTCAGAATATTTCTGCACTTTGATATTTTGTCTAGAGCTACTTCATAATCTTTTCCCCAAATGGCAAATGTGCATTTCATGATCATGTCACCATCCCTATGAATTGTTGAGGCCAAGAAGAAAAGTCTGTTAAGGCTTAGCCTCTCAGCCTAGGTTGGTTTTGCCTATTGACACAATTTTGTTTCTTTTTCCTTTGTTCCCACCATTTATGTCCATCTGTTGAATATCAATTTTACAAAGAGGAGGACATCTTGTTTCTTTTTTTAATGTTCACCAGAAGATCAGCAAATGTTCTTTCATCTTCAACAGAGTCCTTCAGTCTTTTTCACTTCCAGGCATTAAATGTTATTATTTATAGCTTATTTAACATGGGGGGGGGCATACATTATTCTAATCTAAAGTCAGGAAGCAAGACAAGAAAGGAATAGTGCTTGCCATGTGTTGTGGCAGGAAGCTTTGATGGCTGCTACTTACATAGCCAATAATTTGAATGTTAAATATGAAATAAAAATATACAGATTACCACTTCACAGTTTGAAAAAGTTTGTAATTTTACTGCTGTCACTACATTTTTGCTTTTTGCAATGCCACGTTTCAACATTTTTTATCTATATCATTGGGTTTTTTTTGTTTCAAAAATGCATTTGCTATCTTTGAGAGGTTTTAACTACCTTATATATGGTGACAGTGCAGATTTGTTACTATAATTTCAAACTGATGAATATATAAAAGCAAAACAATTCTAATGAACTTTTTTTTTTAAGTCTGATATTTCTGCAGAAAATAGAAATTCTGAAGAACCATATAACATCCATTTGGGGCCTGGAAGAAGAAAACGGCAGAAAAGATCTTATCAATCAAAGATGTCTAATAGATCAAGATGTTCTACAACATTTAGCAGTCTTGGTCAATTGTCTTCCAATTCTTTTAATAGTATCTCAGCAGAGCATCTTACCAATAGTAGATTTAAAAGAAAAGCTACGCTAAAAGAGGTATTTTTCCTTTATATTATTATTTATTCTTATTTATCTACATATTAAAATACTTTATGACATTTTTAAATAAATTATGTTCTTTAACAGCTGATTCAGCATTGTACCAATGAAGAATTTATGGAACTGGTGGTTCCACGTTTGACAACTGTTGTTACTGTATTTGAATTCCTACTGATGAAGGCAAGTCTTTGAAAGTTGGTATTATACATAAAACCATATTTTCTAGCAAGTAGGAGTAATTTGATCTAATGTCAGCAAGGCACATGTGATATTGCCTAAGAGAAAAAGGGATTTCCAAGGAAAGATTCAAAGAGTCTGCTAAATAGTATTAGAAAAAGTATATATATATGTAATCAACTGAAGCCAGTTCCAATATAACAAAAATGGAAAAGAAATAAAAGATTGTAAACAAATTGTACAATTTTTATTTGTAAGCTTGCTTATACTTTTATATAGCTTTTGTTTTTGATCAGGCAGAGAAAAAATGTCAAAAAAAAGCAGTCTTTCCAGATGTTTACCAGGAGTTTGAAGAGCTCCATTCAATGGTAAAGAAAATGTATCAAGATTATTTTAATAATTCTGAATTAAAGCAACCATTAGAAATAAAAAACCATAAGGTAAGAATACAGATTTTTTTTGTTAGCAAAAGCTTTCTCAGTCAAATTATGTGTAGATAAAATAGATACTGCATTTCCTTAAAAAAGAAAACAATGAAAATACTAGCCATGTGGTTCATAGAAATGATTATTGAAAATATGAGCAATATGGTTGGCAAAGTTTTTTGATCAAATTACTCTATATATGCATTCTTCCATCTTCACATAAACTATGCTGGATCAATATTCTGTCCTAAAATGACCATAAATGGTTATAAAGAAAATAAGCAGGATGTGAATACAATAACTTGTCCCAATATAAAGATCTCTGCAAAATTGATCTGCTTAAGTAAAACAAATCGAATGAACACTTATTTTGTTTTGCTGTGCTAAACTAATCAACAAAGTAAGAATAAAAACATAAAAGATCAAGGCAACCTCAAAAGTGATAATCACATAAAGAAAACAATGCCAAAATGAAGATACTGCTCAAAATTTTTTCCTTGCCCCTTTTTCGAGGAATTCAAGCATTGACAAACAATACATAGCAGATATGTTGGTCAATCTGGTATACATTTCTCCTTTCACTGTTATTTAATAATTCTTTTAGTCAAGCCCTAATCTTAACCCACTGTTTTTGATATTTTGTTTAATTCTAAAAACTGGGAAATGTAGGAGAAAAGATATGTGAATATCATGTAAACCATTTTGAAATAATTATTTTTGAAATGGGTGAAGCAGGTATTATGACATACTTAATTATTCAACTTGGATTTTCTTTTATTAGTAAGATTCTTGATAAGCCCTGAGTAAATAATTGCATTAGATTTTAGAAAAAGTGTGAAATCTTTAGCATATAACAAATAGAGTTGCAAAATACAGAGAAAATCCTTGATCACTTTTCATAATTACTATATGAATGACTAGTTATTTTCTACAGATGGCACTTTCAGTGAGGTTTTCCTTTTTTTGTGTTTAACAGGTAGCTGAATCACTAGGAATTACAGATTGTTGTCTTGAAGTGACAAAGATACAGACAAATTCTTTTCCTGAATGTACTGAATCTACTGATCAGCCTATATTGCTCCATATCTCAGGACAGAAATGAGCAGCTGAGGTATAAAATAAACAAATTTTGTCATATGTATATATTTTGCAACATTATAAACATAAGATGCTTTTATTTTTTATAAATTTATCTTCTGCTAAGTATCAGCAATGGATTGAAAATCATTTATCTTTTTGCAAAATTTGAACTTTGCCTATATTAATAGGGTATAATGCTTTGTTACACGACATTGCTCCTTAATGTTCTCTTAATAATAGAATTAGTATTAGAGTGTTTTCTTTGAGTGAGATAAGGTGTGAATAATCTCTTGCTTTGGATTATAGTTATCCTAATTCCTGCCATTAACCATTTTAGTTGCAGCTAATGGCAATTGTAGTCCAACAATAGCTGTAAGGGCAATCTCCTCTTGCCTGTTTTTTGTTTTGTCTTATGTATTGCATAAGTAAAAAAATTGAACTTTTGCAAAATCTTCATTTAGCAACCTCAATTGCAATTGGCAACTCTGTGGTTAAATAATTGCTAAGTGAAATTGTGATTGTGCTTATTTATGGCTTTACTTCAGCTTTCCTTGCTGTACAGTTCTGTGAGTCAGCGTTTACCTCACCATCACTGTGTGCATATGGTTACTAAATGATAGAAATATTTGATTTGACTGAAAGTTAATATAGCTTTTTAATTGGGCATTGATTATAAGTGGGCAGCTACATAAATGTTTTAAATATAATAAACAGCTATGTTTTAAATTCATGGTTTATACTGAGAGCTGTTTTTTTAATGTTTTTTAAAATGTAATCTTTACCAGGTTTCTTGATAGGGAATAGAACAGTTGCCTAGGGCTTTCACATGGAAGAGGTACCATCAATATTAACAATATTGATCAATAGAATCAGCTGCAAGCCTGGATGGGGCACTAGGTGATAATTCCTGGATTCCTCCATTTATTACTTGCCTGTCTCAGTTGCTTATTGATGGGTTTGAGAATAGATAGGGATTTCCATTCCAAATTTAAACCCCTTATATTATATGAGAAGCCATGCTTCAAGACCCGTGGCCACTAGAGAATAGAATTCAATCAGGCACAGTAGAATATGGATGAAATGAAAATCACAACCCTGTTTTATGCATGCAAAACACACTTCATGTTTTAGCACTATGACAAAACCAACTGCAGATTCCTGGTGGGGGGCATTTGGGGCAGTTTACAGATATTTCTAAATGAAGAAATAGAAACAGGTGGAGAGGAACCTTATGAAGCCTTGTTATGTTCTGGCAGACTTCTTTCACTCCCAGACCCAACAGCTTCATACAGCTTTAAGATTAGTTAGAGATTGTACAATTGCTGTTTCATACATTTACAATTTACATGCCTTTTTCACCTTGGCAAATATTTAAGGTTTTCAATAAAAATACAAAATTTTATGCATAGTGAAAGAAATCTTTCTCTTGCAGTGTTCTATATTCAAAAAGCTATATAATTCTTTAAAATGTGCATTTAAATTACAGCATTTTGTGTGTTTTCTTATGTTCTAGAAATGTACAGCAAAAAATATTCTGCAAAAATATGGGGGAAAAAAAAATGAATTGCTCCAATCAAGAATTGTGGAAGATAAATACAGATTTATGTGATCGACACACTCAAGAAAAATTGAATATTTACAGCCTTTAAATACACCAAGATTAGATTATTTGAGATGCCCAACTGACCATAGAGGACATTCACAAGAAGAACAAAGATAAATTCAAGTTGGGACACAGTAAACAAAATGACTTATTATATCTCTTGAAACATCTGAAAAATACAGTCATCGTTCTCCTTGATTTCTTCATGAAAAAACACTGAAAATAAAATATATCAAGAACTTAAGAAAAAATGCTGTTAACAAATTTTGAACTTTCTTAAAACTTTAATAATTTCAACAGTATTAAACATCACAGGAGTAGTTCATCAGTTTAGATCTCAGGAAATTGAATAGACCAGCTTCATCCTTCCTTGAAAATATATGACTAATCAATTTAATAGTATTTTAATGGAAGAAAATAAGTACAACATGATGTTGAAGATTATGAAAACTGGGAACTTTTATTTTCAGTATAGGCATTGCTTCTTCCTGATGCTCTACATTATACATCTGTTTGTAACACAGTTTGCTGCTACTACATTTATACAAATTCTTTTGAAGTTGCAGCACTTTCAACAATACTAAAATTAAGCCATTATAAAAATATTTTGGAAACAGTTTTGAAAGTCTATCTGAAATGTATATTAAACATGAATTGATTCCACAAGCTTGGCAGTATTTAATATATAGCATAAGTTCTAAAAATATCCAGGTTTAGGTGTTACCTCCCCAGAATAATAATTTTGCTAATCTGGTTCTAATAATATTAATTCTCTTCAGGTATTCAGGAGCTGATTGGCCTTTATGATAAAACATGCATTGGGATGCTACCATGCAAGTTTTATGGTTTTGTACTTGCGGTTGCCGTATTGCCCACAATTACATAACTTAAGAGTTTGCATCATATCACAATGCACTTTGTCACTTCGTCCCTAATTGCACATGCCTTTGTCTGCATAAGAGAAGATGTATTGGCTTCCTAAGAGTCAATATTCTCATAATGATTGAATGAATCAATTCTGCAGGAAAGCTAGCAGCACTTAAATGAGGGGCTTAATCAGTGGTGCTATAGGGAGTTAATAGAAAATGAACTTCTCCTAAGAGACAAATATGTTGCACCAATTGCTATGGATATATTAATGCTTGACTACCTAAAATACTGTATAAATTTGACAACTGCCAGAATTACTTTAAAAATTAACATTTAAATTCTTGTATATGCTATCCTGAATAAACTTGAAGAAAATGGTGCTTTAGAGATTGCTGTTTCTATGAGATTTCCAATTTAATTTTACTTTTTTAAAATGTAGAAGAGCTTTATTTGAGATTAAAAGTCCTTACAGATTGTTCTTGATCTTGAATCATTTTAACGTTTTAAAGATATCTATTCTTGGATAATAAACAGATAACCAAGGTTTTCTTAAATATTTAGTTTACTACATAGAACATCTATAAATGGCTTGTTTAAAGGTAAAAATTCATCTACTTCATGTTGTGAGATACATCCTATTCTACATACTTGCAACTGTAAGATATATTCTTAAATTTTCCCAAATCCAAGTTACTCTGAAAACACTTTTAATTCATAGTACCTAGACATTCAAATATTTGGAAGTGAAGAGTTTAACAGTATATGACATAAAGAAATATAAAAAGTTGAATAATTTATGTCATGCCATATTAGGAGTTTTAAAGCTTAAATTAAAATTATGTTTGGTGAAATTTGGAAGGCATATGCACTGATAAGACTACATTTGCATTTAATAACACATTTTGGCTTCTTGATGTACATGCTCATATCTGTTCTTCCTAGAAACGGAAAATATGGGCAGTTTCCTTGAAATATTTTTTAAAAATACGTTGGGTAAACTATGGACTTAGCTTGTTTCTGGAACAAGTCATGATTCCTTAATTGCACTGAATATTAAACTAGCTATGAGGAAGATGTTTGTTACTCATACTTGATTGAAGAGGAGCCAGCTTAATATGCCTCTTGATAAGACATGTACTGGTATATGGCCTTTTAGTTCCTGAGCAAAAGTCTAAGCAACAGGTCCTGTGATTTGGAAGTAGCTAAGTATGATATAATGCATCATCTCACATTACAGCAATTTTAAATTAGGGAAAGTACTGTATATGCAGCAGTTCTTGAATTCTTTCCAAGTGATTATAGGAGGCATCTCTGTAGTTTTTATGTAACCAAGTAATTCATAATGTGCCTTGGGTATAGGATGGAGGGACTAAATACACCATTTTCTCTCTCTCTCTCTCTCTCCCTCTCTTTTTTCTCTTTTCCTTTGTAAGTTCCCTGCCAGATTTGGTCCATTTTTGAACCTGATCTTTCTTTGGCTGGAATCTCCCATTATAGCAAATCTGTCCCCATTCTCTTCAGGTTTTTGAGTCATCCTGCTGATAATCAAGAGTTCTGATTTCCTTTATATAATCTTTCCAACATTTTGTTGGGATGGAAGAAGTCGAAAGAGATTATAAATACAATCTGAACAGAGACTGACCAGTAACATACTAGGACACCCTCATAAGAGATTCATCTAGCAACTATGTTGCCAAAAATGGAAGAGCACAGTGCTGATCTTTACATACCAGGCCACGACTGCATTTCCCTTTTTATTTTCTAGAAGTCTGTTTATCTCCCTTATCCTGGCTGTATCATATAAGTTGCTTGGTTTTTGAAGGGCTTCAGAATCTTCCTTATTCTGAACCTTGTTTTTTAATTATTTTTTACAACGACTGGAACACTCCCATGTTAAATAACTGCCCAGGAATTGTTTTGTTTTGGCATATTTGTAAATGTGATGTACACAATCTGAAGTTTTTACTCTATTGCTTGTTTTCTTGTATTAATCGCTTAAAATGTCATAAGTTATATGCCAGTAGTAATGTTTAACTAAGATATGAGTCTGAAAGTAGAGAAACTATGCCTTCTGCAAATTGTATATATTTATGTAAAACATATATAATTATGCAGCTTTATTTTCATATGAGTGGAGAAGTATACATGATTGTAGATTTTTCCTTGATATCTTTTATCCAGTTTGAGGAGACTCAGGAAACTATTCTCACATATTCACACATTATGAATGTTAGGGAAGGATTAAACTACTTAGATGTAACTAATTTTCTGACAGCCCAGTTACATACCCAGATAAACTACAAAGTATTCTGAAAATAGCCATATTGCTCATAATACACTTCGAAATAAAAGGCAATTGTGCTTTGTGGTATAATATAGAACAAAAAGAGGTATAAATCATAAGAAAGAACTTTTATTATAAATAAGCTGCAAGTAAGTAAGTGTAACAAAATCATAAATCCATAACAATATTAGCACTATATATCTTGCTACTTAAAAGAGTGAAATTTAAGGTGAACTGAAATATCATATAAATAGGTACAATTATAGCTGTCTATGCCCTGTTTCTAACAACATACTTTCTAACAGAACTATGTTGTTATTGTCAATGTAGGGCTGATATAACCATGATGATAAATAGACCATCAGTAGATCTTGGTCAGCCGTATGAGCAATTTCTTCCACAATGGTGTGCTTGAGTTTCAGTTCTTGCGAATACATATCTAAGAGCTTGATCGAGACATCACCTGAAAAAGAAGTTTTTTTTTAAAAAAAGGTCCTGCATTGTGTTTTAAACCCTATTTTTGTCACACATTTCTCAGCATACTGCAACATAGTACTTGCATAAAATTTGGCTGATCTTTGAATCAAAGTAGATCAGACCTGATTAGCATTTGAATTACTGCCAAGAAAAAAATGGGGATATGCCTATGAATTTACTAGACATTCAGCTCAATACATAAAGGTGTTTAGTTAAAAACCTTTCAGTATTATTAGATTAAAAAAACTGTAAATTCTGAAGTTTATAAAACTGATAACTGGCTTAAATTATAGGATACATCTATCTCGATTTATAATGTGGAATCTTGAAAACTACAGTGAGATGAAATATTCTCCCTATAGAACTAAAATTTAACACGTCTGAATGCATTTATTTGACCAACCATCTCTGTGGCTTGTTATAATGGGATACCATTTTTTAAAATGGGACCCAAAGATAATCTGGAGTAAATAAGGGAAATCAGAATAAGATGCAGCACTAAATCCTGTTTCATCACCACTCCAGAATGTTTGGGGTCAAAAAGTAGGTAGATGAAGCTTGTTGATGCTGCTTACTTGGATTTTCAACAGCCTTTGGCAAAGTTCCTTATCAGTGAACTCAGCAATCATGGGATAAGATCTCTTGTTTAATGGATTGCTAACTAGTTAAAAATCATCAGATCCTATGTTAAGCACATTGGGCTACTATTATTAATTAAGAAACAAGTAAAAATAGAAATAAATGGCCAATTGCCTCAAATGGATAGATACAAGAAGTGCAATCCCTTGTTGAACTGCGTTGACACCAGTGTTTCTAAACTTGTTCGTAAACTATCTTGGTTACTGACAGATTACAATATATGGTATTTAGCATGGTAAAATTTGAAAATAATTGTGAACAGTTCCAAAAGGATTCCTTTAAAAGCAGAAATGGTCAATCCAAGAGTGCAAAGAAGAGAAACAAAGTTGTTAAGTTCTACAGAGCACAATTAAAAGGACTGGATTTATTCTCCTTAGCACCTGAAGTAAGACAGGAACGAATAGGTGGAACCTTAACAGAGAGAAAGATCACCAATAGAAATAAGGAGGAATTTCCTGGGTGTGAGAACTACAACAATGGAACAGCTTGGTGCTCTATCACTGGAGGCATTCAAAAAAAGACTGAACTGCCACTTATCTGGAATGGTGTAAATTCCTGCACTGGATAATAGGCTGGACTTCCAAGGTATCTTCCAACTGTATGATGACAATATACATTAAAACTGAAAAAAAGTGTTCTTTCAGTTTGAGCTTCTTCGGCGACAGACAGAAATCCGCGATCGTGCGTGGTTTCGGTCTGGGCTCGCCTCTGGAGCGCCCCGAGCCGGCTGGTTTCGGGGCTAAGCCACCCTGTAGAGGTGGTGAAGAGGGGGGAGACTGCCTGCAGAGTTGAGGAGAGCCGCATCTCTCCTGCCCAGCTGGCCATTACTCCCTTTCCAGAAGGCGGTTGTAGCGGTGGTGAGAAATGGCCACCTCAAAGAAGAGCTCGACCAGAAAAGAATGTGCAGGAGGAAGATAAGAAGAGAAAGTTTTGGTTGACTGGGTCAAACAGCAAAAGCAACAAATAAGGTATCCTGGAATTTAAACTTAACAACATTGTTCCCAAAGAAGATTTTGAAGCTGCGAAGGAGAGAGAGAAGGGAAAGGATTAGATTTTTTTTCTTCCCTTCCTTATACTGACAGCTAAGAGACTTAAGCAAGAAACTGAAAAAAAATCCACTTTGACATTAATAGGCATCTAAGCTGAAAATAAAAGTCAAAGGGATAATAAAGATTTCTGGACATTTAAAAGTTTTTAAAAGCTGGAAAGGAGAAAAAAAAGATTAGAAGGGCAGGATCTGGAAAAATGGAGGAGACTGCCTGGAATTAAGGAATGGAACTGTAATTAAAAGGAACTTACAGTGAAATTTTAACAAGATTCCTCAAAGATACATTTTAATGGAAACTTGGTAACAAAATAATAGAACCTCAGGAAGAGAAAGTGGAAAAAAGAAGCAAGAAGAAACAGCCTTGGATTATTTGGAGATTTTTGGTTTTTGCATCTAGATGACTAAAATTAACCGGGTGGTTGTTTAAAAGTCTTCAAAATGGTATCACTCTTAGAAGAACTGAAAATGGAACTTAAAAAACGGAAAGAAGATGCACAAGAAGGGAGAGGTTCTTTTGGCTTTGTATTTCAATTCTTAGAAATGGAGATCTGGAACTATGAGAAACAACAGGAAACGCTTGCAGAACAAGAAGATTTGGATAAAGAAGAAGCCATCTTTAATGATCAAATAATTTTAAGGGCGGGGGAAGGAAAGGGGGGAAAGAGAGTGAAAGGTTTAAGACCAGAAAAAACAACCAAAAAGAAGAAGAACAATTTGAAAGATAATATTAGAAAGCAACAGAAGAGGGGGTTTACAGATGAGAGAGTTAGAAGTAGAGAGACGAGGGGGTAAAAAGGGGAGGGAGAAGAAGAGGGGGAAGAAGGCAAGGAAAAGAAGTTGTAAAGGACAGAAACAAGAAATGGAGAAACAGGGAAAATATATAAGGATTGTAACCATAAGTTTGTTTAGAGATAATGGGTGAAAATTTAATTGTAAAAGGGATTCTGCAAAGGTACATAAGATAGCTTTGTTATATTACTCCTAGAAATAACTTTAGAAAATATGATGATGGATAAAATATTTATTGTAATGCAGGATATTTGTTAATAAATTAATTAAAATGATTGAGAGAATTAAAAGGGAACATTTTAAATTATTAATAATGATTTATAAAAATATAAGTGAGAAATATGGAAAAAAAAGAATTAACTATGGAAAGTTTATAAGTGTTCCCAAGGAAGTATGATATTCAATTGAAAAGAAATGTTAAAGATGTTAAGATTTTAATGCATATTAATGATAGAATTGAATTGGAATGGAATGTGTTTTATTTACATATATATGTATACATTATATATATATATATATATTTAACAATATAGTGTCTATTTTAAAATGTACCAAGCAGAATTCGATTGGAAGTTATGTATCATATTGAATGCTATAATCTTAAAGCTATACATTGAAGCTTAAATAAGAGCTTGAATGGATAAAATTAAGGGATATAAAGTTGTCATACTCTAATTGGTAACTACAGGGAAAAATTTGCTTAATAAGAAAAGATAATGTGAAATTGTAACAGGATAGACAAAAGTATAAATATAATGATTTGAATTGAGATAATTAAAACAAAGTTGAGAAAATTAGAAGAGGGAAAAAAACTATGTAGAAAATGGTAATAAGATATGGGATAGAATATAAAAATGAGCATGAAATTGAGTTTTGTGTCTGTATGAAGAAGTGATAACCTGGGACCATGCTATTTTCAAAAAAGATGTTTTATTTGTATTTTGTTTTTGTGAAACCCCCCCCCAAAAAATTTCAAAAAAAACCTGAAAAAAAGTGAAGAAAGCAAAATGAATGAAGTATAGAACATTTTCCATAAGGAAAGGGTTAGAATGTTTCAGATTCTTTAGCTTGGAATAAAACAACCAAGAGGGAGGAGATAGGTATAAAATTGTACATGATATAGATCAGTGATTCCCAAAGTGGGCGGAACCTCCCCCTGGGGGGCAGTGGGATGCCTTAGGGGGGCGCTAAGAGGCAAGGGGGCTGGCAGAGGGGCGCTAAGAGGAGGCAGGGGGTGTTCGAGGCACCGGCCCTGCAGGTTCACTCATTGACTGTGAGCCGGCACCTCCAATGAGGAAGCTGTGGCATGTTACGTGCGGCCATGGCCGCGTTCGATACACCGCCCCCCTGCTGCCTCTTAGCACCCCTCTGCTGACCCCCTTGGGGACACTAAGATGCGGCAGGGGGGCATTTGAGGTGCTGGTCCTGCAGGTTCAACCATTGACTGTAGCACTGCTCTGGAGCCAGCGCCTCCAATGCGGAAGCGGTGGCACGTTATGTGCCACCGCGGCAGTGTTCAATGCACCATCCCCCTGCCACCTATTAGTGTCCCCAAGGGGGCTGGCAGAGGGGCGCTAAGAGGCGGCAGGGGGGCGTTCGAGGTGCCAGCCGGCCCTGCAGGTTCACCCATTGAGGCGCCAGCTCCGGAGCGGTGCTAGTCAATGGGTGAACCTGCAGGGCCAGCGCCTCAAACGCCCCCCTGCCACCTCTTAGCATCCCCAAGGGGGCCAGCAGAAGGGCGCTAAGAGGCAGCAGGGGAGCAGCGCGTGGAACACGGCCGTGGCGGCATGTAATGTGCCACTGTTTCCGCATTGGAGGCGCCAGCTCCAGAGCAGTGCTATTCAATGGGTGAAACTGCAGGGGCGGCTGGCGCCTCGAACGCTCCCCTGCTGCCTCTTAGCCCCCCCGCCGCCAGCCCCCTTGGGGATGCTAAGAGGCGGCAGGGGGGCGTTCGAGGTGCCGGCCCTGCAGGTTCACCCATTGACTGTACTAATGCTCCAGAACCGGTGCCTCGAATGCAGCAGCACGTTGGGAAAAGCCGCTACCACCGCTTTCCCAATGTGCCGCCGCTGTCGCATTCTGTCTGTCTGTCCGTCCGTCCATCCATCCATCCAAAAGGTCTGTCTGTTTGCCTGCCTGCCTGCCTGTCTGTCTATCTCTCTATCCATCCATCCATGTTCGAAGTGCCAGCCCCGCAGGCACATTGGGAAAGTAGAGCAAAGCCAGTCTGAGAGGGAGGGAGGAAAGGAGGGAGGGAGAGAAAGAGAGAGACCTGATACATCAGATTGAATGAGGCCTAGTTTAGACTGAGGCCCTTTTCCACATTGAAACATCTTTGCCAGCACATTGAAACCTCTTTGGCTTCTATTAAAGGTTTTGTGGACGAAACATGGTCAAGACTATCAGGAAGCTCTCACATTTTGTTGAGGCTTTAAACAGGATTCATTGGACCAGATCTCCACCCTAAAAATTACTTTTCCCCAATGTATTAATTACAGTGCCAATTCTGAAGAAGGCAAAACCAAAATGTACTGGGAAATTACAAGGAGAACACACACACACACTCCCTTCTAACCCTGCTGGAGCAGGTGATTGGACTAGAATAGATATCTCATTATCTTTCTCCTCCCTGCCTCCTTCTTTATTTCTTTTTCTTTCTGTCTCCTCCTTCCATCCCCCCCCCTCTTTCTTTGTCCCTTTTTCTTTCTTTCCCTTTTCTCTTTATTTTCTCTCCTTCTCTCTTTCTTTTCTCTCTCTCTTTCCTTCTCTCAGGCTTATCCCTTTGGATCAGGTGTCGCCAAACCTTTGGACCTCAGGGACCACCAAACTCATAATTTTAAATCCCGGAGACCACTAATATGAATTTTGACTGACGGTGGCTTTCTGGCGATGGTGGGAGAGAGAGAGATCTGGTCCAACCTCTTTCTCTCCCTCTCTCTCACACACACAGGCAGGGGTGGGATTTAGACCCCTGATCTAAAGCTGTCAAAACTCCAAAAACTGGTCAAGTAGCTCTGGGGAGGCGAGTCATAAATCAGACACTTGCTAAACAACCGGTCATTAAGTGAGGACCACTTGTATTTGGTTTGCCAGTCACCTGGCCATGCCCACCCAGTCACATGACCAGAAAGCCACTCCCACCCAGTCATGTGACCAGCAAACCACACCCTCAAATTAGGCCACACCCACATAAATTTGAATTCCACCCCTGGGTGGGGGGCACCAAGGATGAGTTTGTAGCACCAAGGGGGCAGTGGACCAAAAAAGTTTGGGAACCACTGATATAGACAAATTGGCAGGGAGAGATTTTTTTTCTATCTCTTTCAAAATACAACCAAGTATCATTCAATGAAGCTAACCAGAAGGAGCTTTGGACATATATATTTTTTGCATGGAACATAAAGAAATCCATAAATGTCATTACTATGTGATTAAATAGGGGATCTGATAAATTTATGAAGGGCAGTTATCAAGATCTCTGATTAATTGTTATCATTTTCAAATAAACTGTCCTTATCAAAAAGTCAGATTTACTTACGGAAATGGGAAATAGGCCACGTGTGAAATAAAGGCGCCTTGGGTTCTGCTGCATGATGATATGTTTCTAAGTCACAGACCCCTTTAGTTGTTGAACACAGTTTTTCCATTTTCTCATGTATTTTAGCCTAGCAAAATTGAGAAAGTAAGATTCAACATTTAAGAAGTGAAAGTTCAGTAAACATTTTGAGCAAAATTGCTTGATCACTAATTTTAGCAGCTAAGAAATTTTGAAAAGTGGGACATAGACAAGGTAAGCAATAGTGACAAACCATGTTTCTTTAAGGACATTTTTAACAGCCACAACTAAACATGATTTAATAGCTTTGTTTGGCACTCCTGAATTAATATGCATAGTATACATTCATTTAACATCTTGCTTATATGCTTAATATCTTTTAAAGTTAAAGATTGCTGTCTTGAATAGGCCTGATAAAATAATTAAAAATATGACAATTTGCTGCAAAGATATACTTCTGTTGACCGGTGAGAAGTATAGAAATGTTTCTCAGCACAGATTCTAGTAAGAAGTACCATTTTTTTAAAAGTCCCAAGTAGTTCTGTACAGCACTGCTCCAATTCCATGTCATAGTTAAGTGGCAGTCTTTCACTGTCAGAGGGATCCTCATGTTCTATCTCCAAATTGCTGTCTTTAAGCCTAATAATTAAAAAAAATCAGTTAGTATTTAAGAAAAATACCTTAACTATCATCTAATTGTAACAGAGAATCATCTGTTTAATTTCTTTAAACTTCTAAGTGCATCATATGACATTTTTTTTAAAAAAAATCCAGTTTAAATGAAATAAAAATGAGTTTTGCACCAACACTATTGACAAATTAGATCAGTGTACTTACTGTGTAGCATTTTTGATGTTCACAATCTTGTTGGCAATAGAAAATCCATTATCATTCAAGGTTTCCCATTTCATCATTAGGTTGTGCCAGTCTGCTGCATTATCTTTAATTTTTCTTGCACTCATGGACAATACAGGTGTCCTAGGAATAGAACTACTAGCTAATCAAAACACATTAAAATAATTTAAATTAGTTGATTTTACTACTAATATTTTTATTTTTAAAATATCTTCTACTAAGATCTTTTAAAGATTTTAAATTATTTAAAATTTAAAGATCTATTCTTTCCTGTCATATATGGACCATGCTACTCCAAGAAAATGTCAATAGAAAACAGATTTATATGTTGTCTGGACAAAATAAATATACAAAACATTGAAGGAGCAGATAACAAGTTTTTCCACATTTGGCATGATTCCTATCATACATTTATTCCTTGTGCACAGATGTAGACCATAAATCTGGTTTACAAAAGCACAACTGCTTCATTTACATAACATGTTATGCCTAAACAAACAGCCCATACAACAGTTTAATGTGGTAACTGGTTCCCACAACTTAAAAGAGTGGGCTCCTACCACAGATTGAAGTACAATCTAAAAAGGTTTTTAAAAATCTCCTTTAAGTTCTGTTCTTGAGGGTTTTAAGGAGATATCCACTCAAGAATTCTCGGCAATGATATGCTAGTGATTTTGTTGTTGTTATTATTAGTACTTCTGGTTGCTTCCTACCCAAATTTCTATTCCCGACCTTGCTTTGCCTTTCCAGCTAACTGCAGTTATACATGCTGCTGCCTACCTAGACAACTAGAAACCACCCAAACTGCATTTAAGTCTTGCCTGGCATGCTGTTAAGAACCTATCCCAAGAATCTCCAATGCTGGATCAATCAATTGTGTTTTTTTAATTGACCTTGCACCACAAAGACAGGCTGGAAGAGTCACTAGACTAGACTTTCTTTTCAGTGGGTTACGGGGAGGCAGTTTGCAACCCACGTCGAGGGAGGCACACAGAAACATCACGGGCGGTCCTCACTGCCCCGACCTCTACAGGTAGTTCTCACCTTACGACCACAATTGAGGCCAACGTTTCTGTTGTTAAGTGAAACATTTGTTAAATGAGTTTTGCCCCATTTTACGACTTTTCTTGATGCAGTTGTTAAGTGAATCACTGCTGTTGATAAAGTTAGTAACCGTGTGGTTAGGTGAATCTGGCTTCCCAATTGACTTTGTCTGTGAGAAGGGATCACAGGACCTTGGGACACAACAATGATGGTAAATGTGAACCCACTATCAAGCATCTGAATTTTTGATCACCTGATTATGGGGAGACTGCAGAGGTCATAACTGTGAAAAATGGACCTAAGTCACATTTTCTCAGTGCCGTTGTAACTTCGAACCGTGTAGTTACTCCATTCACCCGCCGGGCCCCCTTTAGAGAGGAAGCCTTCACCTCCCCCTCCTCCAAACTGCCCCACTCTTGAGAAAACTCACCAGCCATCTTCCCACTTCGCGGACGGCGACCCTCTTCCTAAATCCTTCCTCTCGGAAATGCGCTCACGTCCGGCCCCTCCCGGCTAAGAGACTCCGCGGCTGCCGCGAGTGCTGGCGCTCGGTTTGTTTTCCCAGAGTCGCCAGGCCTGGGAGGGAGCGGTTACTCGCTTCCCTTGTTGATCATGAGGGGCCCTGAGTCCTACTGAGGTAGGGAGCTTGCGGCCTAGACAGGCGAGGCGGGCGGGGAGCGCTGGGTCTCCAAGGGCCGTGTTGCTAAGGTCTGGGGGCTAATGTCTCGAAAGAATTGCTGCCTGGCTCTGCTCTCAGCTCTCTTTAGAGGCGGAGGAGAGGGGGTGAGTTGTCAGTCTCCTTCTCCCTCCTTTAACTGCCTGCTTGGGCGGAGGGGAGTTTGGACTAGATGACCTACGAGATCCCTTACAACTCTCTTAATCTGTTATCTGTTAACTTCTCAAGAAAGAGGTTGCTGGGGTCGGGACTAGCTGGTGCAAATCCTTCCTCTCTGAAATGCGCAATTAAATGGCTTGTATGCTTGCTGTGGTTGCTGACAGTCATCTGAACTTGCTCAAAAGACTGAAATTGGTCTCTGTTAGAGACTTGACATTATTAAAAACAGGTGGAAGCAGATTCTGCCAGCTGTAACTAAAACTAAACGGTGTTTTGTTGTCCTACTCTGGAAATGCCCCTCAAAAGCAACCTTCAGGTGCTGGTGAAAATTGGGAGTTCAACACTTTTTGGTGTCAAAACCAATACATCCTCTGTTTACTATGTTTGCTAACACATTATTGTCTCCTTGTAGAGCATTTTCCACTGATTTAAAATTTTGGAAAGATATTTAGCTCACTGTCCTACAAAGATCCTGCATTCCACATTTTGTGAAAAATTTGTGCAACCAAAGTGAATGGAGTTAAAAGTGAATGGAAAGGAGCTAAATTATTGAAACATTTTGTTGACAGTGGTTCCTTTTGTTATAAATTGTGGCCTTACATTTTTAATGAAATTGCATTCTTAAATATAAAAACTCCAAAATATTACAATTAAAGCTCTTCTTTTGCACACATATAAAATGGACAAACTGTGTATCTCTTTAGAGCTGTACCTATGCTTTCCTTGTGAATCGGTATTGTAATTTCATCAGTTATTAAAGTTCTCAGGAAAAACTACAATTGTGGGCCTTCTTGCTCCTGAGCACTCTGGCAAATTATTAAAGAAGGGTACACGTAAATATTTTAGATCCATTGAATAAATTGTCTGCTGTGGAGGAAGTTGAAAGGAAAGTCTGCTGGAGGGAAGTATTGTACTTTAGAGGAACTGGACTTAGAAGATCAGATGATATTCTGACTTCTTTTCTTCCTTTCAATTGTGACCAATTCTTGGATACAAGGCATGTATGAAGTGTGTGTGAAGTTGACATACATGTTCTAGTAAAATGTTGATACTTTTAGTGACATGAAGGACATTTGTTTGAAAAGAGTCTTATGTCTATTCTATATTGGAATCTTTTTTAGAAATATCCATTATAATTATATTTATTATTAACATATAATTTTAGAAGGTTTTATATTATTTTGAGAACCAGTCTGGTATATGGTTAAGGCATCATGCTAGAAATTAGGAGGCTGTTAATTCTAGTCCTGCCTGATTCACAAAGCCAACTGGGTGACTTTAGATTAATCTCTTTCTATCAGCCCTAGGAAGGAGGTAATAGCAAGCTAATTTTTTGTCAAGAAAACTGCAGGCATTCTCTGTGAATTGGACAAAATTTAACAGAAGAAAAAAATACCAAACTTGAAAGTATATAAAGTAGCTCTGTTAATTACAATATATCATTTTAAATGTATCTGTTTTCCTAATGATGAGAAATCCTGAAATACATTTAATTCCTAAACCAGGAGAGGATCTTAGCATATTCCATAAAGTGATTGTCAAGTGAAAATGCATAACTTCACTTATATTAGCATGCAGATAAGTAGAGTGAGATATGTCTTCTTTTCAACAAGGAACAGTATTTTGAACTTTCACTTTCACATTTTTATAATAGATATTCAATATATGTTTACTGAATATATCTGGGTCTAAAACATACCGACCTCTTCTAAAGCATGATGTTCCAGGAGATGCGTTGGCAATTTCCAAAGTAAATACTTTGAATTAGAAGCAGTTTGAAGTGCTCAAAACATTTTTCTGGATGAAATTTTTCATACTTGGGATGGTATGGTCTAGAAGAGGTTCATCATAGTCCAAAGGAAAAGCACAATGTTATGGAATTCTCCAAAAAGTTTCATTCCCAAATTGATAGTTTTGCATATCCCTACAATTCTGTAATAAAGGTTCTACAAACACAGGTGCCTTTTTATATCCCTCTCATTTCAAGCCACACTTATGATGAGGTATTTTAACTAAATATTCATATTGTTGTTTGTGGGTAGAGTTGATAATAACTCTGGTAATTTCTAAAATAAACAGAGTGGCTCATTTGGTGCACAATTCGTTTAATGTTCCATTTTTGTAACTGGGCAGTAGTTTGGACAATTATGCACAAATATGTGCAATTTTGTTCAGAAAAAGATATGTTTAAATATGTGTAAATAAGTGAATCTCAGCTCATACTTTTATTTCATTGTGCTTCTGAGGTGAAATTCAGAAAATTTCTGAACTGTGATTAATATCTGTGGCTTACTGAAGGAAGCTGCTCTCATAATAGTTATAACTAATCAAAAATGCCTGACATAATTCAATGTGAAAGATTCTTGTCTTCTCCTTGGGATTGTGCTAGAGGAGAAGAAAAGACTGATCACCTTATCAGATTCATTCACATAATGCTGAACAATATTCAAGTTGAACAATTTTATATAATCCTGATTATATAGTTAATAAGGTTAATATACTAAAAGCCAAAATTTAAAAACCATAATGTATGATTTAATATATTTTACTTAGCAATAGTATGGTATGACTGATAAATAAATAAATAAAGACAAATGAAAAAAGTATAACTTTGAATCATCTGGACTATAAATTGCCCTAAATCAGGGGTGTCAAACCCAAGGCCCGGGGGCCAGATCCGGTCCCTGGGGTGCTTAGATCTGGCCCACAGGGCCACCCTGGAAACAGCGAAGGACCGGCCCGCGGTGCCTGTGCCAGTGATAACAGGCTCCCGAGCTCCTTTTTGGGCTGCAGCGGCCTCCTGTAACCCTCTGCCAGCAAAAACAGAGCTCGGGAGGGCCACATCCAAGCACTGTTTTTGCTGGCAGAGGGTTGCAGAAGGCCATCGCAACCAAAAACGGAGCTCAGCAGCCCATTTTCAGTGGCAGGGCACTCAGGCAACCACAGGCGCCCCCAACACGACGCCGAGCTGACCACCCCTACCTCAGCCCCCCCACCCCAGGCCCCCGAGGTCAAACACAACCCTGATGCAGCCCTCAATGAAATCAAATTTGACACCCCTGCCCTAGATTAAAACAAACAAGACAAATTCCTTAGTACTGTATATACTATACTACAGAAAGAAAAATTTTGGAATTAGATCCAAAACATTTATGTAGTGTCTAAAAAAAATCTACATTTTAATTTGAAGGAGCATTCTATTTGTTCTTTACTGTGACTGAATTTTAGAAACTGAACGTTGCTCTTAAAAAATTGTCTGCTTTTTCATGGGCTGCAGAAGTATATGAAATGTATCTTTTCTAGTCTATAGGTTGTGTGCTGTGTTTACTATGGCATCAGTGATACCGTCATTTACCTTCAAGGAGTTTTGCCCCTTGTATTACCTTCTCAATGCCATTCCCACAAAAATCCAAAAAGGATTTCGTTCCATTGTGGTTTACTTGACTGCACTTGACACTAATGAGGACTACATAGCGGTTGGCAGTAGTATTGGCATGCTGTATTTGTACTGCAGGCATTTGAATCACATGAAAAAATACAATTTTGAGGTAAGACCATCTCTTAATATTGTCATAACTTTCTCTTAAGATGTTTGGCTAACTTAACATCCATCTTAAAAATAGGTAAACACATAAGGTTCAAAAATGTTTTAAGTAAGTTGCTGTGGTATTTTTAAAACAAGATTAAAAATTATTTATATTATAGTTATTGTACTCCATCTCTGCTTAAGTTAACTTGTATTTGATTTACACCCTAAAATGGTTAAGGCAAACTTCTTCTTTACTGTATAAATTTATGTTTTCATTCATAAGCTATACTGTTCATCACATTGTTTATATAATATTTTTCTCATAAGCAATTGATTACAAGGTAAATGACAGCAATGGAATATATGCTGTACGGGTAGTCCTTGACTTAGAACAGTTTGTTTAGTGACCATTCAAAGTTACAACAACGTTGAAAAATGTGACATGACTGTTTTTCACAGTTATTATCATTGCGGCATCCCCGTATTAATGTGATCAAAATTCAGATACTGAGCAACTGGTTCTTTTTTTTGACGGTTGCAGTGTCTGAGCTCACTTTTGGGACCGTCCAGCAAGCAAAGTCAGTGGGAAAGCCATACTCACTTAACAACCATGTTACTGTCTTATCAACTGCAGTGATTCTTTTAATAGCTGTGGCAAGAAAAGTCATAAAATGGGTCAAAACTCACTTAACAAATGTGTCGCTTAACAACAGAAATTGTGGGCTCCGTTGTGATCATAAGTCAAGGACTACATGTATTTGGTTTTCTAAGTTCAACCAAAGAGGATGATTGAGGGTAGGTAAATTTTATTTGTCCTCTTGTCATGGATATGTGACGTAATGGTGGCTGAATCTTCCAGTGGTATTACCATTTTTGAGAGCACTAGGAATATTAAAATGATTCTTTAGCACATCAAGATCAATACATGTTCTGCAATACTTTAGAATTCTGTAGCATTTGCTGCCTGGAAAACTAATGCTCACAGAAAATTGTACTTGTTCTTTAAATGGAAAATTAATTCAGGTGGTTTTCATGATTGCCTCAGAGCACTGCTTTATTGCTGTGCTGAGTATCTGTAGCTATTTGCTACACAGCTGAGGACGGAAGTATATTGAAAACAATTGGGAGAGTAGCTGTGTTCATCTCTGCCCTCAATGAAGACATATTTTTTCTTCTACTGCATCATGTCTTTACAGAGTACACCATTTCTCATAATGGGAGAATAAAACCCTCAGTAGCACTAATACATTTTCAAGACACGTTTTTAAAGCCACCCAACTTTTCAGTGACTGGAAAAACACACACACACACACACACACACACACAGACAGAGTTCTAGTTTGTTGGTTTTCTTTACATACACAGAGCATCTCTCTCTCTCTCTCTCTCTCTCTCTCTCTCTCTCTCTCTTTATCTATGGTATTTGTCTATATCCATCCATCCATCTTATTTATGCTGTGTATGTACATACAGACAGAAAACAAAAGAACTAGAACAGTAGAGAATAGAAAAGGAAGATGATGATCCTATGGGAACAGATATAAGAGCCCCTTGCAAAGGGTTTTCCACAATCTGTTGTAGCCTAAAGCTCAGGGAAAGAGCCAGACCTTCATTTAAAGGACAGGAGCTGTTTGAATCTTGGATCCCATCAGATGACAATGTTTAATAGATCTGGAGCATGCCAACTCTGCTTCATCATATAAAATGGGGAGAAATAGCTAGAGGGAGATGTCCCTCAAAGAACTAAACCTTAACACTGTCTCCTCTTATCAACACTGACTGACATTCACCAAGGGGAAAGGAAGATAATCATCATTGCACTTAGGTCTCCCATTCCCACTCCTAAATTCTTGGGTGCTCTGGAAGGATACTATGAAAAATCTAGGCTAGTTGCACCAGAGTTCATTAACAAGTGTGACTAGTGCTGTTTCAATGATATGCTTTAAACTAACTGAAAAGAATCCAGATAATTTGTTTCCTCCAGACCTTTTAGAAATTGCAGCCAACCAATTTTCCAACAACACTCTCCCAAATGGGAAGATTGGAGTCAGCAAAAACTGTCCAGATTGTCCAAGATCCTTCTCTAAGATGGGTCTTTATGAATACTAATGTCTTCAAAAAGCTTATAAATAATCATTTCTGAAAAAATTCATAATGAAGGAGATATTTGCTTCTAGAACTATACAAAGATTTAAAGGTTAAAACCAACACCTTGAGTTGAGTCCAGACAGCAGTTTGCAACAAAAGCAATCCTTTCATTGTGGTATAATATGTTTATGATTATATTAATTAAAAACATATAGTAGTAGCAGCAAGGTAAAGTAAAATCTTTGTCAACATTCAGCAGTAACACTTTTCAGATTTTGTAATATAACTAATACAATTGTTCATGTGTAAAACTGAGTCATTAACATGATGACTGCAGTCCACTTTTTATACTTCTAATTTCATACCTCTTGCTTTAATCAAGCTAGTCATTTGTCAGATCGACATTTTGACATTCACTTTTTAATTCTTTCCTTTTAAACTGATAATATTTAAACCACCTCAAAGCCCTGATTTAAAAATAGTGTCTCCTGACCTGAAACAAGTAAAGTTTATTTCTTAATTTTCATAATCATTATTTTGTTTTTGTTTTATTAGGGGAAGAATGAATCCATTACCGTTGTGAAACTCTTAAACTGCTTTGATGATCTTGTTGCAGTGGGAACAGTTTCAGGCAAGATTGCTATTTTTCAGCTTGTTTCTTCATTACCTGGGAGAAACAAACAAGTAAGGACCATATGTGAAGTTTGTGCTAGTCAAGACTTGTTCCAGTGAAATGTGTAATTCCTTAATTAAGACATCTAAAAAAAAATCTATTATTTATTGATTTCAAATACAATAGGTTTTTGAGTTTTCTCTTCTTTTCCTTCTTTTTTTCCCCCTCCCCTCCCTTCCTTTCTCCATTAACATATTCAGTGATGTTTTGTGTATATGTTAAAATAAAATAGTTGAAGTGAGAAATACCAACTAGACTAATGAATCAATCCAATTTAATTTCCTCTTTTTCCCCTTTGGTCTCTTTTATACAATATATTGATGATACATGATGTCTTTATTTGCAGCTTCGGAGATTTAATGTGTCTGGTTTTCACAAAAGTAGCATTACAGCCTTGGCATGGAGTCCTAATGGAATGAAATTATTTTCTGGGGATGATCGAGGGAAAATAGTTTATTCTGCTTTGGATTTAGATCAGGTGAGTAGCTATTTGACTAAAACCTTTTTTTTTCCAAAATTTGATTCCAGGAATATAGATTCTTGCTGGATCAAATCAAGGATACATGTAATCTAGCAAGATCTTTCCTCACAGTGGTCATCCAGCTGCCTCTGGGGAGCCAATGAGTAGGACATCTATTACTGAGAGATCTGGGTTTTTTTAAAAAAAAGTTGAGTAGTGTCTGATGGTGGTTCTAAGAGGAGGGAACATTTGGTCACCTTCCAGATAGTGACAGGTGAATTATGTGAGTTGGACTCCAGTGGGTGCCGATCATATTGAATTCTGATTATTTAACAGAGGAGTCTGTATCCATGTTCTGCTTTTCTAGGGTCTTTGCAATTCCAGTTTGATATTGGAAGAACCATCTTCAATCGTACAGCTAGAGTATAGCCAGAAAGTATTGTTGATCTCCACTTTACAACGAACTGTACTTTTCTATACCGAAGAAAAATCTGTCAAACAAGTTGGAACTCAACCCAGAAAAACGTAATTATCAAATTTAAAAACTCTTGTGATAAGTTTTGAACACTTAAGACTGGTCAAATATTTTTCTTTAAAAATATTTAAAATTGTTATTTTAAAAGGTGCATGATTTCAAGTTCTGTTTGTATTTAAAGTAGCATGCTTAACTGAAAATATAAGAGACTTCTAGTTGTCATGAATTAGAATGTGTCATTAGCCTTTTGGGGCTGATGGGCATATTTGAAATTTCAAAAATATGTTGTGGTATTGTTACAGAATGGCTGCTGGGGAACTTACAAATTAATAAATGTAACTAATTATAAAACTCAGATAAACCACAATAGTTCCTCTCTCCCCCCTTCTTTACCGAAATATGTTATCTGGCAAAGTGAACATTTTTTTATTTTCTGTGAATATTTATGAAATCTATTGAAAGATGATCTATATATTAGAGAATGGCACTTTGCCATTCACAATATGCTAGGTTTTTTATAACAATAATTTGTTTCACATAAAAAGTCAGTACATTGATACCAAAAGCAACACACTGAAAGTCCAATTAGTCCTTAGTATCCTGAATTATATACAACCACTTTTGGTTTTTATATTATTATCCTAAATTGGTTTAAAATCTTTTTGCCTTCTTTTTCTAGTCCCCCTTCCCATTTTGGGAAATAGTTAGCATCTGTATCAGAACAACTCTAAGCAATGATTTCATTCTTCACTAAGAACACCCTCCTCACCCCAAACACCTTCTGACAAAAATTCTTCCCCATTCTCAAATATGTTTCTCTGAACTATAATTGTTTTGCTTTTATATTTTTAGTACAGGCAAATTTGGTGCCTGCTTTATACCTGGGCTACGTAAACAAAGTGACCTAATGCTCTTTGCTGCAAGGCCTGGGGTTCGCCTTTGGAAATCAGATGTTCATGGGACGGTTCAAGCCACCTATCTTTTGAAAGATGTATTTGCTGCTGGAATGAAGCCTTTTGAATTATATCCCCGAGCGAACTCCTTTAACAAGAGCAGCTGTAATTTCCCAGAAAGACAGTTTGGATTCATTTCCTGCTTTTCCCAAGAAGGATGGGTAATGAGCTGGAATGAATATAGCATTTATGTGTTAGACACAGTAAACCAGGTAAGAAAGCCAAGTCAGAATGCAAGGAATTTGTGATTAGTTTCTCAGATAGTTACATGATAGAAAGGAATCGTGTGAAAAATGTTTAGTGCAAAGATTTTGGCTTGCGATTTACTGGAGGTTTTTTTGTAACTCGATTTGAAGAAAAGCGTTGCATTGGGCTGCAGCATGCAAAGGGCATATGGCTCTCAAACTAATTTTTGTAGCTCCTAGAAATGAATACACAATTTTCGATTATTTCCCCTACACACCATTAGATTATAAGCCTTTTAAAGACATGGGGAGAAAGCCTTCCTCCTGCATTTTCTCTTACTTTTTAAATCTTTGTAGCCCCTCAAAATATATATTTTGTATGTTTTTCCCAGGATTATATTCCAGATAATCTAAAGAAGTGAATGGAATATATGGAAACTAAAAACAGATCAAAGGTGACAGTCTGAGGCATCACATACTACTAGGAAGTCTGCTCCTGCCACAGACTTTTTTAAATGGTTCATATACTTGGGAATGTATATGAAAACTGTCTTATTTTAGGAGGACACCAGAACTTGCATTTAGAAGCAAATATATATATTTCAATTTTAAAAAGACCCTAGCAATTTTAGTGAATCTCAGATAATATTTCTCAGCTCCAAACACTCAAATCTATGTACAGGTAATCCTGATTAATGACATTCATTCAGTGACCATTTGAAATTACAATTTCAGTGAATGAATGAAGAGATTTCCGGCCCATGCCCAAAGTTACATGTGATTGTGACCTAGGGGCTTGGCAACTCATTTGCACTGACGATGGATTGCCAAGTACCCTGTGATCATAGGATCGCTATTTGCAGTGTTCCCTGCTGTCTTCCCCAGAAGGTCAGTAAGAAAGCTGACAGGTGGGGTTGCAAACCACTGTTGTCTGTCTGGTTCCTAGAGGCTAGCTTCTTGAAAGTACCTGTATTTTCCATATATACTTGTTTATAAGCCTATCAGCGGATAAGCATATCCTCAATTTTTTAAACCAAAATACCACAAAAAATGTGAGTTGGCTTATCTGCAGGTGGACATTAAAACTTTTGAGGATCAGCTTACCTGTGGATGGGCTTCTATATGAGTATATATGAAAAATTATTATTCTTGATACTACCATTAGAAACTGAATTTAAAACCAGTTCATTGTTGTTCACTGCTCACAGTATAGCCAAACTAAAACTTAAACTATGTTTCAACTGAGTTTGGGACAAGTTTAAATTTAAAGCAAGTGATAGTGTGGTTGATTGTATACCGTTGATTTTTTAAAATGCTGTATAAATAAAAATAAAAACTCTGAAATATGTAATAATAATGTATTCTTAATGTAGTCCTATCATTTTTTTTTTGCTTTCTTTGTTTTCACAGACCATGATTGGGAGTTTGGAAGGATGTGGTGATATAGTATCTGTGTCCTGTACCGAAAATGAGATATTCCTTTTAAAGGGAGACAGGGATATCATTAGAATCTCAAGCAAACCTGAAGGATTGGTGTCAATAGGTTTGCATATTAAGTAGTATATATAAAATGATTCTATCCTGAAAATTCTTGTTCTTCTATTTTTTCATTAGGGGCAGGGTAAATACAAAAGAATGAAAAATGTAAAAGAACCTAATATAAAAACTATATTGAAACAACACAAGCTATATTCAGTAAAACCACTCAAAAATAGCCATTTCTTAAACATAACATCAATTATCAGAGGGAAGAGGCATCCATAAATCTTCATATGCACTTGATGATTAGGAAATAGTTCTCCATTAACTATTGTTGCAGGTGACTAGAGATGGTGATCACTGCCAGAGACAGGGCTATTATTGCCAGGAAGTTTCCACTGTCCTTTGATTTTCTCAGAAGTCAAATGACTTAGTCATTGGCACAGAGGAGAACACCTTTCTTTACGCTATAAAGCATGAATAGATTTTATTTTATTTTTGTATACGGTTACCCATCTCATTGTAACTATTCCTTGATAATGCTGGCAGGTCATATTAAATGTAACTAACGATTAGTTCCTGCCAAGGCGGAACAGTTTTTAAAAAATAAAGATTTTAACTTGATCTTTATATAAGATGTTATGGCACTAGAAAGAGTTTTGCCTGCTGTTCATATGAGTTCTGTGGTCTTGCCTCTTTCTCCAGTCAATTTTTCATTACTGTCATAGTCATTGTAGGAAAAACATAAGATATTGTGTAAATAATATAAATGATTCTCTCAGACCAATATACTTTTTTGGCAATAACTAGGTGGATATTTCTAGGAACTATATCAGTAATGTACTTTTCTTAATATTTGTTTACATTTATTGCTGTTAGTATGACTAGCAAAGTTGTGAAAGATTATCCTTTTTAAAAACACATTTTACGCTAATGGAAGCAGCAGAATCTATGAATAAACTATGTTGTGAGAAGAAATACTCATTTGAGGATGCTGATATCTCTAGCCATTCATTTTACACTACTTGTATTTTATAAATCATTCCTGTGTTTTCTTGCTCCTGTAAATTGCCATCTAATATTTATTAATTTGTCACATTTCAGATATTAATTCTCAAGCTTGGACCAGCTTGGAATCTGATTTGAGCCCCAAATTAGAAAGGCCACATTTAGTAATTGCTTCAGTCTCATGTGATCCCTTTCCAGAAGCAAACCCAAAATCAAGTAATTTCTCCTCACCCCAAACACCTAATGACAAAAATGGCTTCATAGGAAGAGCTGACCAGGAAGTAGCATTGATAGCACAGAAAATTCGCTCACAGAGCTTTGATGCATTGGGGGACTTGAGCACTGACCCAAGAAGAAGAGGCAACTCTGTAGTCAGTGAATCAAGAAGCAGAAGCAGCTCTATGAATTCTGTGGACAGTGGCTCCAGTTCCTTGACCAATGGGGATCAAACATCATCAGAAATACAGAGAGTGGATCAACAAATTTCACAAAGGTTGAGCCTGATCAGCTCAGAAGATTTCAACCAGGAACTGATTATAAAACCAATCAAAGTGAAAAAGAAGAAAAAGAAAAGGCCAGGTAAATGCTTAATGAGAAAGACTAATTGCTATATTCTTAATTTTTTTCCTTTTGTATGTAGCCTGTAAAATTCTACTGGGATCTAAAGGAATATCACTGGAGTACCCTTGTTAACCAACATATCTTAGAATGAATTAATTTGTACATTTGTTATGAATAGGATAAAAGTTTGGCTGGTTTACCCTGTACACTTGTTTTTTGGATCATGGCAATATGGTGCTGAGGCTATTTTGATTCAGATTACACTTGTCATTTGCACAGGTAATTCTGTCTTAATTGGGTAGAAAATTTTATACCTGATTGGATTTTTTTTAGATTTCTGGCTTTAGCTGGCCTTCAATGTCTTTTGGGCCATGGGATTTGCACAACTGAGTCAATATATTTTTAAAGCAGAAAGATGAAATGCGAATGTTCCAATTTCAAATGTGGAATCAAGTATTGGATTTTATGTTTTATTCCTACTGTTGGGAATTGTCATAGCAGAAAGCAGCCTTTTTGTAACACTTCAGGTATCTCAAAATGCATCACATGTGTTATCTTCTAATCCTAAAGCAGTCTTGGGCAGGTAGATCAATGATGTTACTATTTTATAGTGCATGAAACAATGTGAAACAAATTTCCTACTTAATTTATGGCAAAATAAAGTAGTTTTCTGATTCAGGGTTCAGTCTCTTAGTTACTACAATATATCAGTTAGGTTTATGCTAAAATTGCAATTGGGAGCATTATGTTCAGTGACAAAATGTGTGTTCTCTTTATAAAAGAATGGGTTTAATTTCCATAATTTTCAGCTAAATAAGGTTTAAAAAACAGAGTTGAAGAAGACCTTCTTGCATGAAATCCTGAATAGCATTTCCACCTTAAAAAGTGGCCATAAAATACTTTGACATCCTTCTCCAATTCAGAGCCTTCCAGATTTATGAGACCACAATACCTAGTATTTCTACCAAGGGTAGGAGTTGTATTCTCAGAGGGCACCACACTAAAAAAAAGTATTTCTGTTATTGCTAGTGTTCAGGTTGGCAGTTTAGTCTACTGAATCACTCAAGGTAAAAGTCAGAATGAAGTATAATTTCAATTTTTTAGTTTTTATTTTGTGGTATTTGGCTCTTAATAAACTTCTCCTTTCCTTCCTTTAACTTCTCTTACCTCCACCTTTTCCAACTGCATTTGAATTTAGAAAATGGCTCCAGGAGAAATCCTACCTCTTTAGAAAGCACACCCTCTTATGAACAGCAAGCCTTCACTGATAGTTTTCAGATACTAAATTTGAAATCATGCTCCATTAGTTCTAGCCTCCAAGGCAGCACCACAGACTGTTTAAGCATCTGTTCCGCAGAACAGGAAAGTATGTTCAGTATGGAAACACAAAACGATACTGAAACATTCAGTGTACTTCAGTCTCTGGAGTCAATAGTTGCTCTAACACCTGATGACAACAAGGACACACAAGAACTGCTAAAACTTTCTAATTGTAAGAATGAAGAAGATGCATCGGATGTTACGAATTCCTGCTTGCTTGTTGTGGAGAATAAAATGAGTAGTGATCATAGTGAACACAACTGGAACCCCCTGTCTGAAAAACTAGAAACCAGCCCAAAATATATTATTCCAAATGAAGACAATTTTCCTCTCCTACATAAAACGGAATGCACTTTAGATGAATTACGTCTGCCGAGTAATTCAGCTTCCCTACAAGAGACCAACTCTGCACAAGGAACATCTGTAAATAGGGACACATCTTTTTGCACTGACAAATTGTTTGTTCAGAGTGAGGTTGTTGAGGTAATGGAGCAGCAACCATTTTTACGATCCACAGTCCCTGGGAATCCTGAACATAATCCTGCTGTTTCTGAAAAAGAAATAAATCCTCAAGAGAGGATGCTACCTGGACTGGATTTCAAAGAAAGAGTCATCACTGACTATGCCAGTGAGTGGATGAGTAACTCTCAGACTGGTAGAGCTGAGAGATATGCATCAAGTGATGAAGAGGATATCTACGGGCATGGCTTGATTTATTCATCTTCAGAGACAAATGTGACAGAAATGGGAGCCTGCCATCTTCCACGGGATAAAGTCAAGTCAAATGTTGAGAAGGAGACTCTTTCAAAATCTGACCAGGTATATTCTTGGGAATACCATTGTGACATATCTCTCTAATCTGATTGCAACATACCTGCATTCACCTTATATCTTTTCCTTCAGTTTCCCCACTATTGTTGAACACCTTTCCACATTCATATTGTTATCCTGCAGCCAGAAGTGTTGCTTTTGAAAAGAATCTGAAATATTGCAGGAGAAATAGGAAAGCTTTTATGAATTGAGTTCCACATGTGTTTTTAAAGTTTAATGAATGACTATATTTTTTACATCTTTTCATTCATTTTTTTTCAGCTGACAGGCATATTTGAAGTGTTGAAAGCATGTGGCGAAAGACCCAATTTTTACTACAAAGCAAACTGGGAAAGTTGTGTCTTATATCCCCTCCAAAATTATTCTTGTCTTTTGTTCTGAGTAGGGTAGCATACATCGAAATGAAGTAACATGCTGCAGATACTCATCCTTTTATTTTCTAAGAATCCTAGAGAGATCAAATTTTCTTGGAAACGATGATACTTGAGGCTGATTCTTTACCTTCAGCATGCCAGATTTCCATTTAACTATTTGTATTTGGAAGTGTATTAAAATTAAATTGGATGGAGCAGGGGATCTGAAAACAGATGAGAGTTTTCATGGACATGCTGTTTCCTATGGCTATCACAATATATATCTTTGTTTAAAATAATCAGAACTAGTCTTTGATAGTAATTGCTGAGTGGTTTACTGGTAAACTAGTTGAGTAACTTTCACGAAAAACTGCATTTAAAAAAAATTGCAATCTGAATCTCAAATTCAGGAACAGGAGAACATTTTGCTTGATTTGTGTTAAGAAACAGGAGAGAGCAAGAGAAAGAGACTAGGGGTAGAATGCTACCGGTTCTGCCTGGCTCGGTAGAACCGGTATCTCTAAAGAGCAGCAGACATAGAACCGGTTCTGTGTCTGCAGCTGTTTGGCCCATCCGCCCACCCGGGCTCTTACCTGACCTTTATTTCCTGCTTTTTCAACCTCAGCTTCAGGTTGCATGCACGCAAAGAACATAAGTACCGAACCAGTAGTAACACCGGTTGAATCCCACCCCTGGAAGAGACAATGACAGAGATGGTGACAGCTTGGCCACAAACAATTCTCTTCTCTTGTCTACTTAAAAGCATTAACTTAATCCATTATTGTGCCATAACTTTACTAGAATATAGGTAGTCCTCAACTTACAGCAGTTCACTTAGTAACAGTTTGAAGTTACAACGGCATGCAGAAAAGTGATATGACTATTTTTCACCCTTACAACCATTTCAGCATCCCCATGATCAGGTGATCAAAATTCAGACAACATATTTAGGACAGTTGCAGTGTCCCAGGGTCACGTGATCACTTTTTGTGACCTTCTGACAAGCAAAGTCAATGGGGAAGCCAGATTCACTTAACAACCATGTTACTAACTGAACAACTGCTGTGATTCAATTAACTATGGTAAGAAAGATAATAAAATGGGGCAAAATTCACATAGCAATTTTCTTACTTAGCAACATAAATTTTGGGCTCAATTGTGGTCATAAGTTGAAGACTACATATGTCTATCTTTCTGACTCACTAATTAAGAGTTTCAGAATTTTCTCACAATCATCAAACTGAATTCAGAATTCAGGATATTGGTACAAGTTATGACTTTTTCCGGAGGTTCATGATAAACCTGGGAAATTCACACTGAATAAATTGAACACCCATTGCTAGAGATACTTAAGTTGCTTGCTTTGCAGCGATCACCCAATAATCTTTATTAAACATTAAAACATACATTTGTCAAATGCGCTAAAAACACAGTCCTTATATAATTTCAAAATTAGGCAGCTTCAGATATTGTGAAGATATATTATCCTTATTCTAATTCTTCAGTCTTTAGTTTGCAGAAAGCTGGATGGGATATGCAGGTCCTGGCTATGGAATACTCAGCCTAGTTGTGTCTGATAAATACATTTGGTGCTTGGATTACAAAGGTGGCCTGTATTGTAGTGCGTTACCTAGTGCTGGGTTGCGTTGGCAGAAATTTGAAGATAACGTCCAGCAGATGGCAGTCTCTCCTTCAGGTTAGTTAGATTTGCATTTTAGTCTATTTTTCCTAGGGTAGAAAAAAGGTTTGAGTGCATTTATTATTTGTTCAATTGTTATGGGTACATCAAAATATTGTAGGCTCTGTAGCAATGGATTTCAAAATATATTTTGTAGAAATGCCATTTTCAACTATTTTACTTCAGATAGCAGATATTTATTGATTGTCCTCCTAGAAAGCTTCTGAAGAAAAGAGATAAAGTAGTAGAAAGATATATTCTAGTATTTTTATCAACAAAACATTCTGTAACATTCTGATTCCTGGTCCTGAAAATGGTAGAGTTACATCTGTAAACTGCCTTTACACCTCCTTTTACACCAGATTGTTGTGGTTTTGACCTTGAGGTTTTACCATCCCTTAAATCCATAATCAAAGCTAGGATACCATGTATGTCAACAGTGTTTTTCTGTTGTCCATGATCAATCAAGAAATAAATCAGGAGCAATCATTATAACCTTTTATATTCAATTTCTTTTCTTTGTCCTCTCTGAGTAAATTATTATGTCCATGTCCCATCATTTTCTTCAGCTTTCAGGCTTTCCCTAATGAACCATGCCTGTAAGTCTACTTTGTACTTATTTGACAAATACTGTATTGACTTCTCTAATCACTAGTGTGTGTGCCATCAGGTACAGAAACTAATTAAGTCTCTTTTTCTTTTATGAGAGGTCTGTTTATTACCAATGAAACTCTGTAACTGTCTTAGGTGACTGCTTCAACAAATTATTCCCTAACTAGTAGTAGTTATTCATTTAAGCTACAATAGATACAATGATTCCATTGTAGGATCACCACACTCCTGAAAAGATTGCTTATTTCTAATCTTTACATTTTATTTGCATGTAAAAAGAGAAGCAACAGGGCAGTGCTTTAGGCTTGCAGTTTAAAAGGCATGACATAAATGAAAAATGATTTGGAGGAAGAAAGAATGCTACATGATTTGTAGGTTACTTCTTTGTATTCATTATATTGGACTTTCCTTGATATTGAATTTTGAAAATAAGAATGACCAGAGAGATGTCTTATTTGCAATGGTTGTCCTATAAAGAATACTTGCAGGACGATTTTATTCATTGGCCTAACACTTGAGAAGAATGCTTACCTTGAGCTGGCATTTTTCATGTTTTGAGTTGGATTTTTAAAACTGTACAACTATCTTGTGACGGCTCCTCTAAAGAACCTAACCTTGGATGTATCCTTCATAAATTACTGCATTCCACAGTAATGCATGGAATGTCATTTCCATACTCCCATCTCCTTGTTTCCACCACTATGGTGGTCAGACCACCCCCAGGTTGATGAAAACTGTCTTAGACTTTAAAATAGTTGCTGCTACCAAACAATAAATTCATTAGATTTAAAGGTGATCTTTTGTGAATAATTTTATTTATGTGAGCTTTCTTTCATAGGGACTCTTTTATGGAAGATTGAGCAAAAAACCAATAAAGCTTTTGCTTGTGGTAAAGTAACTATCAGAGGAAAACGTCACTGGTATGAAGCTTTACCTCAAGCAGCATTTGTATCCTTGAGTGATGATACAGCCTGGATAATTCGAACAAATGGTGATCTGTATCTACAGACAGGTACCTAAGATAATTGTTATTTTTCTTCTGGAATTATCTGCTTACTCAATTACATTCTGGGAGAATGCTTCAAAAAGTAGTGGAGGTTTTTCAGTGAAAATTCCAAGCAAGCAAGGCAGTCAGTTTTTCTTGGAAGAAGTTTTGTTGCCATCATGAATCTTCTCCTACAATGGGTTGATTACACTGTGAAGTCCAGTTGCAACTCTGTTATGATGTGATGGCTAGGTTGTGCTCGTTTGTACTACACCCTAAAACACTCTACGCCAGAGGTGTCCAACCTTGGCAACTTTAAGACTTGTGGATTTCAACTCCCAGAATTCCTCAGCCAGCTTTGCTGGCTGAGGAATTCTGGGAGTTGAAGTCCACAAGTCTTAAAGTTGCCAAGGTTGGACACCCCTGCTCTACGCAATGTTGTTACATATTAATGTAAAAATATTAATACTAATAAAATTGTTCCCTGAAAGAGAGTTTTGGAAACTAAAACCAGATAGAAAGTATTAATTGCCTGATGCTGTTTGATTTAATTATGTCAAATAGTTTAAAATCCTTTATGGGGTTATTGGCTTGAAATTCAAACGTGCTGGTCTACAATGGAAGGAGTCCTTTTAAAATGTTTTGTCTGTCAAATGATTAATCCAACAAAGATTTCTGCTGAACGGTAGGACAGAGCATTATTTATTTATTTAGGAAAATGTTTAAACTGCCTTAGTATTAAATAACAATATGGAGAAATCAGTGGTTTTGAATCAGCATACCTGCCACACTATGCTGTAAGATTCCTTTTCCTAGTAGACTGGCTTTTCAGGCAACATACAAGGCTGCACGCACAAAAGGGAATCAGCAAATCCCCCCCCCCACCCCAGTTAACAGAGTTTCATTCTCAGCAAGCCTGCAACCAGCCCATTGTATTCATGCTGTTGTGTCATACTAACGAACAAGCAAATACATGGAAGCATCTATTTGTGTTCACACTTTTCATGCTTTGATGATACGTAATTCAGCAGTGGAAAGAATTTGTATCTGAATGCGCAACCATAGAAATAGAAATAATAAATAAATAAACTCAGCCCCAAGAGGGAAACTAATTTCTGTGTAAATATTTTTTTTTAATTTCTAATCAGTAAGAAAAAAGTCATCCTGTTGTTAAATACAAAGCTTTCTTTGTGTTTAACATCAGAAAGACTTTTCTCTTATTAATTAGAAAAAAGAATTCTGACATTTTTAGAATTTCAAAACGTGTTGATTATTATTTTGCCTTTACTTGTGTACTTTATTATAACAAAAAATATGGTTGTAATGATTGAATAGCTGGCCTTTTTCTGTTAGTTACTACTGGTTCTCACAGCAAGTATTTTGATTTGTTATACAGTATGTTTTTGTCCTGCAGGAATTCTTAGATGTCTGGCCAACTATGCCTCCTCTCTCCCTGAGAAATTTAATCTCACTGTTGGAAGCTCTATCAAAGATTGCAATGAAATTTAAGAGGAGAGGAATTATATATTTTGCCCCTGCTGTGGTAGTATATATGTGGTCCAGTAATTATATTTGATCACATACAGTGGCCAAATTTAGCGGCAAAATATTTCCAGATCTTAGTCCTACCCAAGTATAAATTCCTGCTGCTTAGAAGTTTGTAGCCGTGCTGATGAGAATAGGTTATGTTGCTTTCCTGCTTTCTCTATACTGTTTAAAAATTCTGATACAGATATAAGTATAACATGCGTATGCAGTTGTATAGAAATATATGTGCTAAGTATACTTTCAACAGGGCATGATATATCCAGATGTGAGAAAAAGCACATTGAAGAGGAACCTAGGAATTTAAGATTGAGGCTTTAAAAATATAGGTACTGCATTTTAATTCTGGCCAAAACTATGTTTCTTTCCTTGTAAATGGTAATTATAAAGGTATTAGTTTTATCTTGCAGTACTTTCCCATTAGATTGATTCTCAAACAATCTTAAGTAACTGAATGAACTGGATAACAATAGAAAAGAATTATTGCTACATAGAGGAGAGAAATACGTTAAAGGAAAATACTTTGGGTATAGGTCAAATACAATAACATCAAAAACAGAGGTAGCTATCTTTCTAACTAGATTATAAATTATATAGAAAGGAAATAAAACTAAACTAAAAAACTAAACAAGTGATGCACATATTGCTTTTCTGTATTTTATTTGAAGGCCTCAGTGTGGATCGTCCCTGTGCCAGGGCGGTAAAAGTAGACTGTCCATATCAACTATCACAGATTACAGCCAGAAATAATATAATTTGGGCACTAACGGAGCAGCGTGTGCTTCTCTTTCGTGAAGGTGTAAGCAGTTTCTGTCCTGAAGGAGAGCATTGGAAATGTGATATCATAAGGTAAACAGTCTCTAAACGGTAGGCATGTCCTGTAATAGTTCTTGATTTTGCAAGGACCAGCATTTTCATCATCTCAGTTTGGACTTGCATGTGTTTAGACAACGTATATTACATCACATGGGAAGAGAATTTCCCAACCAGGACATCAGGCTTTATTGATTTTTTGGGGTGGGGTGGGGTTAAATGGTAAATGTTTTGAAACTTGGCAAAAGAAGGAAAGAATGTCCATTAAGTTATACAATTTAACATATACTTATTTCATCATACACAATTATTATTACATCTTAATAATCAGAATTGCATACGTGTTTTCTACTTAGGCTTCTAGATCCAGATAATTTTATTCGTTTATTTAAAGAACTTAATGAATGCCTATCTCACATAGGGCTTCTATGTTGGGTCCCAACAACTAATTAAAAAATGGAATAAAAATAGAACAACCCTTCCACCAGGCATTAGACCAAACAAATTCTTGACCTGATTTAACCTCATCCTAGCTCTGTGCTTGGGGGAAGATCCAGGTCTTTAGGCCTTCTGTGAATGATCAGTTCAGATCCAAGGAAAGCCAGAATCGCTAAGTTTTGCAAATTGTTCATGATAGGCTGCTAACAGTTGTATATTTGCTTATGCTATTGGATTTTGTAAGACTTGAGCAAATTGATTAGCTTTTTAGATTATGTTTAAATTTAGCAGTACTTAATTTGCACTAAGTAGTGTTTGGATAGCTTTAAAATGAGCAGCGGTATGATCAATCATTGTTATAGTCCATTGATATCGGTGGAATGTAAGTTTCAGTTTTCTTCAGTAAAATATATCTGCAAATATTAAGTTGTGTCCATTGGCTAAAGTAATAAATTATACCATACCATTTTGAATTTAATGTATTGAATTGTAAATAAATTGAATGGGAATTCAATGGAATTCCGCTATGGTTGGTATTATTTTAAAAGGAGAAAGGAATATTTTCTGTAAGAATGTTAATAAGCCCTGGCAACAATTCTAATCATCTCTAGAACTCACAACTACAATTTTATGTACTTTATGCTAGGATGTTTTGGAAAACTGTCTGGAATCTACCATTGTTGCAGGCTACAATGGTCAATGTTGATATCCATTAATTCACGTAACACTAGCTTTACAGCCAACATGTTGGCTTCCAATAGGCTTCTGGGTACTGTTCAAATATATATTGGGAGATATCCCCCTGCCTCACCGAGATCCAGATGGCACTCTCCCTAAAGAGATTCAGAAAGGCTATTAAAATTTAGCTTTTCTAATGAACTTTTAATTAGCATTAAATATTTACAGTTTTAAAACTGTGGAGGATAGTGTAACAGGCACACAGCAATATTTGTGTTTTGAATTTAATGATGTTATGTTCAGTCTTGTAAACTGACAGAAGTTCTTAAGGAATTGGTTGTATAAATAGAAAAAAAAACAAGTATTGCTTGCTTTTGCAGTGAAATGCAAGGTCTAGAGCCAGTGTGTATTACTCTTGGAGACCAGCAGACCATCTGGATTTTAGATATTCATGGAAATCTATGGTTTAGAACTGGTGTTGTTTCAAAGAAGCCACAAGGGGACAACAACCACTGGTGGCAAGTAGGCATTTCCTATTCTACTTCCAGTAGAAAGGGGGGTTATTTGGTAGCGATTTCTTACTTGCATTCCTAATAATATCCTGAATTCAGTCCTAGACAGAAGATCACAGGACGTAGATTTGGGGAACACCCATAAATGATATTGTGCCAGAGTTCACCTTCCTAAGATAGTGGTGAAATCATGCTTCATTTATCAATTAAATCTAGATACCCATTGGTTGTCTTGTTGCTCTGTTTGTAGGGATACTACTTATAAATCTGTATTATGTCTATAATCAGATTCTGGAACTGGAGCTCTAGCCCTGATAGGGAAGGGAGGGAAGGGAGTCCTGATATTCTACCAAGAGAAAAGTAGTAACATTCAATTGAACACTAAGTTTAATTACTTTAATTGAACAATTCAAAAAGAAAACAAAAAAGGGACAAGAATACAATTCTCAGACAGAAAATAAACATTGTGGCAAAACTAATAGTTATAAACTTTATTTTACAAATTGTAAAGCAAACTGTAGCCACATTCAGAATGATAACATTCCTTTAGACATTATAGAGGAATACATATATTAGAATGCTGTAATAACAATAACAATGATCAATATAATAACGTATTTATATTATACCCTTTCACTATATTCTGGCAATTTTACCATATAAAATTTACCAATTTTACCTTATTAAAAAGGGTAAAATGAAGCAAAACATAGCAATGTAGAATGTAGATTAAAATAATAAAATACTGAAATTCTATAACGAAGTCTGGTGAAAGAGGTGCATCTTTACAGATTTACTAAATGTAAGATAATAAAAAAAAATAAAGTCCTACACTGAGAAAAGTAAAGACCTACACTTAGACAAGAAAAACCAAAAGTACACATATAGGCTGGGTGAAACCAGGCTCAATAGCAGTAACTGTGAGAGGGATCTTGGAGTCTTAGTGGACAACCAGCTAAATATGAGCCAGCAGTGTGCAGCCGCCAAAAAAGCTAATGCAATCCTAAATTGTAGTAACAGAGGGATACAATCAAGATCAAGGGAGGTACTAATACCACTCTATAAAGCCTTAGTAAGACCACACCTAGAATACTGCATCCAGTTTTGTTCACCACATTATAAAAAAGATGTTGAGACTGTAGAAAAAGTACAGAGAAGAGCAACCAGGATGATTAGGGGACTGGAGGCTAAAACATACAACAAACGGTTGCAGCCAACGGTTGCTTGGCTAGTCTAGTAAAGCGAAGGACCTGGGGAGACATGATAGCAGTGTTCCAATATTTGAGGGGTTTCCACAAAGAGGAAGGGGTCAAGCTATTTTCTAAAGCTCCTGTAGGCCAGACAAGGAACACTGAATGGAAACTGAACAAGGAGAGATTTAACCTGGAAATAAGGAGAAACTTTCTGACAGTGAGAACAATCAACCAGTGGAACAGCTTGCCCTCGGAAGGTATGGGAGCATCATCACTTGAGACTTTCAAGAAGAGATTGGACTGCCATTTGGCAGAAATGGTGTAGGGTCTCCCGCTTGGGCAGGGGGTTGATGACCTACAAGGTCCCTTCCAACTCTGATTATCTATTAAATCTGTTAAGCTGTCAGCCATGACAAATAAATAACTGCCATGTTTGCCACATAGAAGAAGGCCCTTTTCTGTAGCTCCTGCAAAATAAGATTTGAATTCAAGGCATCTTTCAGAGGGTATTTCCTGTTTCCCAGAACTTTGTATTTGGACTTTAGTAAAAGGAAAAAAAGTGAGGCCCATTTTGGTGTAGTGGTGTAGCTAGGAACCAGGCGACTCTGAATTCTAGTCCTGCTTTAGGCACAAAGCCAGCTAGGTTTGAACCTTGGGCCAGTCATTCTTCCTCAGCCCTCAAAAGCAGGTAGTGCCAAATCACTTCTGAACTCTTGCCAAGAAACCTGTGGGGACTTATTCAGGTATTTACCAAGAGTCAAGACTGAATTGAGGAAACCCCTTCCCAGATAATTAAATATTTAATTTCACATTGAAGCATTCTCTGTGAATAGCCTTTATCAACGTAACGATGAATTAACTTCATTTTCTGCCAGTAATGTATGTTGTGACATGTGGATGCTACTAGGTTGAGAAATGCCTCCTAAACTTAATTTCTGTCACTCATTTACTTTTTCGATGGTTTCCATGGCTTAAGATGGCTACATCTTTTGGAAACTTTCCATCTAATTGGCTAGACCCATTGGGTTATCTAGGGATTCTTGTCAAAAACAGGATTTTTGTCCTCTCATTTGTCCTTTTTTAAAACAGGTATGTTGGACTGCTTGCTGTTAATGCAGCTTCTAGTTCGTTGAATATTTATGGCATATCTTTTATTCTAAAGGGACTATTAAATTAGCTGGGATATTTCCAAGCTACTGATTGTTCTTGTTAACACACCACATAGCTGACTGTAGAACTTACAACTGTTTTTACTGTCCTACTTCCAAAGTGTGAAATTGAAATAAGTCACATGCAAGACTTCCAGAACTTTGAATGATACAGTTTTGCATGTCTATTCTCAGAATTATAAAATTATGATGCCCTTTGGAACATCTTACCTCTAAGGTGAGATCTGTCCCCACCCTTCTATCCTTCCCCAAGAGCCTAAAGACCGGGCTCTGCTGGTTGGGCTGGGGACCAAATGAGGAGTTCCATGTGGGAGTTGCCTGCTGGACTGATGGCAGACTCTACTTCCTCCTCCCCCCTCCACATTTTGCTTTCCATCCATCCATCCATCCATCCATTCACCTTTTCAGTTATATCGATGAATTTTCATTTTGTTCTTTTTTATTGTTTATATTTTATTTCTGCTCTATTTACATTCCTTTCATTTTCTTCCTTTCTATTATTTTTTTATTCTTACTGTAAGCCACCTAGAATAGCCCCAAAGGCAACAAATAAATTTAACAAGCAAACAAAAAAAAAAATACATAGAATAGTTACAAAGCTGAAATTTTTCCAACTCCACATGAAGAAATAGATTGGTGTTTCTTGAAAATGTGAATGATGAAAGGCTATATGCTGTTGAAAAGAAGTTGTTCCTCTTGTTGGAGTTTTCCTGTGATGTATCAAGAGAGAGCTTAATGTGCTCTGAAACTAAATTAGTCCTTTTATGTCTTTTACTCTCCCAGGTAAGCATTACTGATTATGTTGTGTTTGACCAGTGCAGCCTTTTCCAGACAATAATCCATGCAACACAAACAGTAGCAACAGCAGCCCAGGCTCCTGTTGAGAAAGTGGCAGACAAACTGCGCACAACTTTCTGGTCACAACAACTTCAGTGTCAACCAAGCCTACTTGCAGTCAATAGCAGCGGTGTTTGGATTTCCTCTGGGAAGAATGAATTTCATGTAGCAAAGGGAAACCTCATAGGCAAGTGCATTTTTTTTGCTGAGGTTACTTTTAAACTTAACCTGTTGGTATACACACATCTAAAGTCATTTAGCAATGATTTTATTCCTACCAATTATTTCAAAGTAGAAAGTGTCTGGACACATTTATTTTGAGCAGTGGTGGTTAATATAATATCTTGTCCATTGTGTCACTCCTGGGCATAATGAATGCTGCCAACTTATATATCAATTTGTGAATGGAAGAGGCATGTGGGAATCAGCAAACATGTAGAATTTGATTGTATCATAGCCAAGCATGCAGAGTCTAATGCTTTCTTCCTGGCATATATTCCCCTGGCCTAGTGTACAGTTTTGCCATCTCTATTTTAAATATTAACATTTTTATTATTTTGTTCCTCCAGAATCTTCTAAGCAGCTTACAAAGAATGTCTAGGCAGACTTACTCGTTTGGGTACTGGCCAGATCCAGTCTTGCTTAGATTTAGTGAGGTCACTACATCATGTGCCTTCAAACCAAGAACAAATACAATGTATGCATGTTGTATTGAGTTTCCAGATTTTAAATTTAAAAACATATAAAAGAAGTGAGTGGTAGAGGTATGTGACTGAGTTCTATCTAGGACATTTTCAGTTCACCTGAAACCCCATTCTATATTTATTTCAATTATATGTGGTTCAATTAATCCTATCTGGTTGGACTATCTCAGTATGAATGGAACCTCTTCTCTGAATGCTTAATAATTGTCATTATTAGATCAAAGTGAAAATTGAAACCAGGAATATAGAATATGTTCTTCTTTAAAATAAAAACTTAATGAACAAAAATGTAGTTAAGACATTACTGGGACATGGGACAGAGGTTGTTTTTATATTGATGGTTTTCCTGTTTTCTTTTTCAGGTACATATTGGAATAATGTTGTGCCTCGGGGCACTGCTTCAGCTACAAAATGGGCTTTTGTGTTAGCTTCTGCAGCTCCAACAAAAGAAGGTTAAAAACAAATCCCATCCCGTGCGTGCGTGCGTGTGTGTGTGTGTGTGTGTGTGTGTGTATATAAAATATATTCATGTGTTTCTGCTAGAATAAACATGTAAATTGATCTTTGCTATCATTTTGTTTATCCATAAAATAGTATTGGAACTGGGTAATTTAAAAACTTGTTTAGTTCTAAGTTAATTAATACACAGCAAGAAGAAGGTGAATTCAAAATTGGAAATTCGTGCTCTTACTCTGAGCCTTTAATTTGCACTTTGATTTAAGAACTTACAAAGGTCATCCTTGCCAGTTCCTTTAAACCATTGATTCACTAGGAATCCATATATTACATTTAATAAATGATCAAGTAAAACTGTAGGTTGAGAATTTATCATTTACTTTTTATATATCTTACCACCTCTATATTTAACTGCATAACCCTCAGTCTCATGTTTTATAGATATATCAAGTTTTTATATTGCTCTATTTTTCTCAGTGCTGCATAGCCTAAGATTGTTCTGCTCACATTCAGTATTAACAGTTTTACTTTAGATCAGTGCCAATGTATTGTGGTAATTAACTAATTTTTTGTTTATTTCCTGAGTATTAGAAATAAAATAAATGCTTTTATATAAGGTAAACCATGGAATGAAACATTTGCATACATTTTTTATAAATTTAAAATGAATCCTCTCTTATATGATCAACATCAGCAGTTTGTATTGACTTGTGCTCTGCTTGTTGGTTTCCCAGAAACATCTAGTTATTATGGAAAAGAGAATGCTAGGATAAAACAGCCACTGATCTGAAAGAACAATTTTTTAAATACTTTCTTAGCCTTGTTTTTTTTAATGGAATATAGGAATAACTTTAAAACAACTTATAATGTGTTTAAACAGGTTTTCAAGTATTTGTGAAGTGAATTAACTACATTATGAAGATAATACTAATTATATTAATGCAATCTTAGAATGCAGATTTAGCTTTATGTACAAATACTGATTAATTTTTATAAAGGTCTCTAAAGAATATAGAGTTTATAATTTTTATCCTTCCTTCAGGAAGTTTCTTATGGTTGTCCCAAAATAGCAAGGATCTCTTTTGTGTTGGTGATCAGAATCCTCAGTTCCATCCTTCAACAGTTCAGCTCCCTTCTGATAATGAAATGGTATATTATTCAGCTTGCCGGGATGCAATATGGAGCTTGAATAATCTGGGGCAGGTCTTCATAAGGACACTTTCACCAAATTGCCCAACAGGAATGCACTGGACCAAACTGGACCTTACTCAATTAGGTAAATCTAATTGTAGCTTTAGAAAATTCTTAGCTGAAATGCAGGTAATTAGATTCTTTTCTCTGTATAATTAAGCGTTCACACACAGAATTGTTCTGATGTATGAAATGTAATGATAATAATTTAAATAGTTGCGCGTAAAATAGGAGTTGGATATGTTCGTCACCTTGAGTTATTTGTAAAAATAATAAGGGCGGGATAGAAATAAATAAGTAAGTAGGTAAAATGTAGATAAATGATCACAACAGTTTTTGAAATTCCTATCGTACTGGCTACAGAAAAAGGATAAGACAATGAACTAGACAACCAGTTGTGTTTTAGAAGAGAATGATTTCAGGAAGCAGGATGATGATGTCACAGCAACAAGTTACGTCCTGTTTTGGGTATGATTATTGAGTTATTGTTTTTGCTGCCTAAAATATGTAGTTGAAATCTGATTGTAATGTAAGTATCATGGTATCTTTTGTCAATGGACTCTTTTCTTTGTCACCGTCTCTTTCCCTTCCACTAGTAGCCATTAACCACCAAAACACAGATGCAGGTGGAGATATTTCAAAATCCCAGTTGCACACTGGAGTGGAACTTGATGAATCAATGGAAAAGCCCCGAAATGTAGAGATTCCCTGTTACCTTTTACTTAGATTAGAGGAGTAGGGAGATAATGCAGGAATAACATTGTCGAAGCAAATAAAGGTTCTGGATATCATTTCCCTAGGAGTCCATCTCTGACACAGCGAATGTTTACTCGTTAACACTTCAACTGATTCAAGAAGTATCATCAAGCATCATAGTTCATTTTAATATTGATATTCACTGCCCAGCATTATCTCTGTGCTTGTCTATCATTTTATATAAAAGATGACCATTTACCTTTTTTTTCTGAAAAAGTTTTCTAGTTCAATATCAAGAAAACATTTCTGGTTCAATCACATTAAGTGTTAGAGAATTAGCATAGTGGATCAGTGGATTTTGAAATTTCAATTCTGTTCAGGCAGTTCTTCGTGTACTTGAATAGTCATCATAGCATGTGACTTAATTAAACTTGCTCTGTTATATTTAGAATTTCTGCAATAAAGTCAAATGGACTTTGGCAATGTGCTGGCTAACAGAAACATATGATTATCTGGATGAATAATTCACATCAGTTTTTGTAAGAGAAACACCCAAAATTGGAGTGAGAATAGAAGCTGAAAATATTCCACAATAAGTATATATTTGGAAATCAAATTGTGTTGTGTATGTAAATAACTCCCCAATAATGCAGAGGAGATGATATGTGACTCTGTTCCAAAAATCTTGGCATTTTTAGATCCAAACCATCAACTGTCCATCAAGCAATGAAGTGATTTTTAATAGCTCTGCTGAAAGTTAGATCAATACAAAATTTATCCTAATGTTTTCAAATTATTTTTGACTGATTAGGTGTTGTATAACAATATTGAAATAAAGGCAGAATTTAAGAGATTATAAAGAAATAGGCGAAGATTTCATATCCTTTTTATTTGATTTGATTTGAATCCAGTTTTGATAAATTCATTTTAAGACTTTATCTTTAGCCATGTAGCTAGAATATTTCATTCTTCCACTTAGTTGTTTGATGTGGCACTCTTCTTTCCTTGGTCTAATATATACATATATGTACACCCACCCCCCCACACCCACACCACAAGAATAGGCAATTTATTTACATATTTTTTGTGATGAGTTTTTCTCAACCTTGGCAACTTTAATGTGTGTAGATTTCAACTCCCAGAACTCCACATCCAGCATAATTAAAGTTGCCAAGATTGAGAAAAACTGACCTAGAGGAGTTCTTGCCATTTGGCTTGGTAGAGCTTGTTTAGCTTCATAGTCGATTGGTTTCTTGTGTAAGGAACTGAATGTCTTCAAAATTTCCACTCAGGAAGTTGTCTCTTCTTATAACCTGATGCTATTTTTCACATAATACATAAAACAGAGCAGAGGCACGTAAGGTATTATCTATGGCCTTTCGGTCAGCTCAACCATCGGTGGATAGCATTTAACTCAGTTGTTGGGGAAAAGCCATTAACGTGGGATTTCATTTCCTGCATCCTGCCATATTTGAAAAGGTTATGCGAAATACTGCTTGAGTTTCTTAAAAATAAATAGTTCAGTTTCTTAAAAATGAATGCAATAGTGATGGCTTTTAAAGAACAAAGAATCACTCAGGCTGACATTTCTAGAAACAAGTATTTGGTTATTGGAAGATTAACGAACAACTGGGAAGAGTTATTTTGCATCATTATATTTTCTATTTCACTCTTAGAGAAAGCAGCAAAATGTTGACGCTATTGTTTTAATGAAACTAAAAATGCAATACATGCCCTGTGAATCCTATAGCTCTTTAGGATAAGCGGTTCTTATTAGCTTAGTATACTGGAAATGAAAAAGTAACTAATCTTGAGATATTTATCCCATAGATCGCATCAGCAGCCATTATTTGCTAGCCATTATTTAATGTGAAACATTAAAATGTATTTAGAGACTTTGTAAGCTTAGCTGTCTTCCAGAGGGAGTTCACTTGAGTTCATGTGAAAACTTGTATCTCTTAATTATGCAACAAATTGTGTTCCTTTACATTGCATGTTCTATTATCCTAAGATTCTTCAATAAACAGGAGTTTCTACATTAAAAAGGCATGTTAATAATAGTCCCGAAAGTCACATACTTGCTTTCTAATTACACTGTAATTCAGCTTGTAAAGGTAATCTGAAATGGAATGTAAGCTTATCTATTATTGGCAGTGAAAGAGAATTTCATGTGAGAATTCCTTTGCAAGTATAGAAACCTCTTCAGTAAAGCAAATAGTAAAGCAATTGCCCCCCTCTCCCTCCAGGTTCTGTATGTGGAAAGAATGTCAAAAGAAGGCAGAAGGGTTCATTCTAGATAACTCAATATAGGAGTGTCCAACATTGGGCCTGGTAGGCACATTTGGCATTTTGAGAGCACATTAAAAGCACTGGTTTTTGCTTAACAAGTCTGATGGCCAAATTATTTTTGATGACAGGAAAGGTGTACTTAGATTCCTTTTTTCATTGTATGTTAAATTGGCCATAGCATACTGGAGAAGAGTATTTTATCTCCAGTCACCTGAAATTATTAGTCTGGAATAGGGCAGAATACAATAAATGTGTAAGTTAAATCTAATTGGTGTCATAAATCACAGTTGAAGAGCCTAACTAACTGAAATCCCCCATTTCTATTTAGGTGCTGTAAAACTTATAAGCTTAGCATGTGGAAATCAGCACATCTGGGCCTGTGACAGCTGTGGTGGGATTTATTTCAGAGTTGGAACTCAGCCTCTGAATCCAAATTTGATGCTGCCTGCATGGATAATGATCGAGCCTCCCATCCAGGTAAAATAACCACATTTCATTCAACTTTCAACTAGTCATTTTTTGGTATTTTGTTGAAAGGGTCTTGCATTTCTCTACGTTATGGTTCTAAAGATGTTAAAGAAGATTAAAGTTGTGAGCTTAGAAATTCTGTTGAATAGGCACACTGTCAGAATGGAGTTGGGTTGGAACACTTAGTGTGATATTCTGCTTGACTTCCACATGTAATTTCAAGGTCCAAGTATATTCATATACATGTTATTTTTCTGTGTTGAAGAACAAAATGCTTCAAGAATGTGAAGTGTGGTTTGTGAATGCCCTGGTTTGCATATGGAAATTTGATGAATTTTTACATTTGTTTTTTTAACTAGCCTGATGATGGGAATGCAACACAGATTGTGACATAACAACTAAAATTTCTTGAAGCTTGACCATCAATATCCTTGAGTTTTGAATGGAATGGAGCCTGCCCATTCCGTTTGTAATCTGAGGATTCGTAGGAGTGAATCTCATAACTTAAACGGGATCACTTCCTCCTTTTGCCCACACATTCCCTAATTGAATACAAGGCTTGTTAAATGCACATGAGGTATTTCAAGGTGGGGAAGGCCATGGGGATGGTCTACTGATGGAACAGCCCATCTGCCTAAGACCACCCATGGCCCCCCGACCCACTAAAATACCTCATGCTCCCCACAATTGGTTCCCACCCCAACCTGCTGCGCCGGGTCACTTACCTTGTGAAGATCAAGCAAGCAGTCTCCTCTCCAGCCTCTGAGCTGTGCAGATCTGTCCCCCAGAAGCTCCATTTCAGCCTGCAATGGGCCAGGGGAGGTCCACCGAGGGCTGAACGGAGGGCTGGATCAACCCCTCAGAAGCTCCATTTTGGGTGAGACCTGTGGAGGCCCACATGGAACTGCAGAGGGGTGCTTGCGGCTGAGAGTCTGGAGAGGAGACTGCTTGCTAGATCTTCTCAAGTTAAGTGACCTGGCGTGGCAGGTTGGTTGAGGGGGGAAGCAATTGTGGGGAACATGAGGCCCGAACAGAGCTTCTGAGGGGAAGACCCGCCCTTCAGAAGCTCCATTTCGGCCTGCAACGTGCCAGGCGAAGCCTTTGGAGACCCAAATGGAGCATCAGAGGGGCGGAACTGCAGAGTGATTGTTTGTAAGGGTGAACAACTGCCGCGGTGCTGCAACATTCGTAGTTTCGGGACTTGTTTGCAAATGCTAGGGGGCACTTATTGTGTAACTTTGAACATCCACTAAGTGAAGGCTTATAATCCAGGGATTACTTTCTGTTTAAAACTGCTGATACAGAATACACTCAAGGCAACCTAAAATGTTGAAAAAGAAAATACCAAGCAGACCTGCTGATATAACTGGCATTGATTAAAGCACCTGAAACATTATCCAGTCCCTGAAGCCTGAGTATTTCCTAAAAGCCTAAATCACCAGCAGCACTGCTTTTCTTTGGCATGACTCCTCCTAACAGCTAGAGGGTTAATGGCTCCCTCTTCTCTCCTTTTCCCTGCCTATGGGCCCCTTAGAGCTTTCTCACATCAAAATCAAGATACACTCTGAAAGCCATTTCAGTCATATGTTCTTTTATGTCATCATTTACTTTGTTCTGCATATGTAAGGGTTAGTAGCTGCTATTCGCTGCAGAGGTAAGCAGATAGAAAAACAGAAGAGAGAGAATATTGATTTCCACTTTGCACCTCACTCTAGTGATTACTATGCCCCCAGGTTGAAGGAGACAAGCAGTGACCAAAGCAACCAAGTTATGACTTGAAGGCATAACTTGGTTCATAGTGGTTTTATTTCTTTTATTTTGTTAGCACATGAGTTGATTCAATAGCATATAAACCCAATAAATGAAATAAGATTTTGCTTTCTTGCCAAATAACAATACAAAGCAAATAAAACAAATCTTGGTGAACAAGCAATTGTTTTATTTTCCAGAATTAAAATGTGTTTATATAATAACACCTGGTGCTATTCCATGTAAATTTGAAAATGCAACATTATCTTGTCTAAATAAATAATGTGCCAAAATTTGCTAGCTTTAATCTGCTGTTTAACCTGCAAATACTTTGTACTGAACCGTTTAGGCTATATTGAAAGTCAATTATTTTGACTGAGATTATGTTGTGTCATATTCACAGTGATGGAGATGATGTGCAGATAGAGTCTAGGATTTCTTTGAAATATGAAGCTCTGCAAGTATAATTTTCCCCATTTGATGTATTTCCTAACTTACAAATCAATTTGCCAATGAAGACATTTGCTTACTCGTTTTACACTCCAAAATTACGTTCTGCTGGCCATACTGATACAAATCATAAACCTAGTGTCATTTTGGTTAAATTTTCTCAAGTTTCTTACCTCGGCTGATGAATCTGGCTTGGGAAATAATTGGTAATTAAATGGAGGCTCATTATTAAGAATGTGATCTATTCCCTTCAAAGGTGATGGTTATAGGATGGCTTTCTCCCATGTGTAAACAAATATAATACATTTGTTTTCCATCTTGCTTGTATTGTTGATAAATTGAGAACAGGAAATGTCATGCAGGGAGTAACTAGGATTTTATGACACTATAACCCATTCTGTTTTTCTTAAAATTATAAGCAAGCTGGCTAGTTTACTTTATGAGAACTGCACATTTTAAAATCACCGGTTATATTTGATTGAAAGTTTGATTTTCTACACTGGCTTTCAAGAATCTCAAAAATAACCAATTATCTATGCTAATTCAGTTCCATACCATTTATATAATTCACTATATACTGTACTTTGACAGAATTTTTTCTTGGGATTTATAAATTAAGCCTGTTTTCTTTCTTTCCTTTTAGAAATGCAAGTACTATGGCTATAATAGCAGAGGAATTTTTATTTTCTTAATGGTTACTATAGTATATAACACTGTTTAGAGTTCTAAATCCAATCAGTATCATTTGCAAAAATATCATGCCATTATTGATCAATTTATCTTGTGCTTAAAGCACTTTGTTCATATAACCACACTTCATATGTTTAAAATAATATACGGATCATTAAGGTTAACACATTTAAAATGACTTAATCAAAATAAAAACTATCATTTTCTTCCCCTTCCCCTTTCATACCTTTACTCCTTCAAAAAAATTTCCAAACATTTGAAGGGGCCTTCCTGTAGTGCATGAAATAGAGCTGGCAGGAAAACCATTTCTCTTCTCAATTTAAGTTAAAATCCAAAAAGCAATTTGAACAACTTTTGAGCTATTTCAGCAATCTAGATCAGGGGGCACCATCCTTTTGGACCTCAGGGACCACCAAACTCATACTTTTAAATCCTGAGGACCACTAATACGAATTTCATAATAATAATATATTTAATATACATTTTTTTATTGTTTTATATTAAATATAAAT